TTGCAAATACTTCTGAGTATGTGCACATTATACCTGCTTTCTAAAGGCCCTGAGAAGTCTCGCATACCTCGTGCATATTTGCACAAGGAAACCTTTGGGTGCACACCCATATCCAGCAGTTTGGGAAACACCTCTCCAGCTCTGATGACAGCCTGACAACCTGTTGTCATCGGGCACTCTGTGGGCCAGCTCCCAGCTCATAATGCCCTCCTCCACATCACCTCATCTAAACCCCACAAGAAGCCTAAGAGGTGAACACTGTCACACCTCTCTCTCTCTTTCTTTCTTTTGTTACAGACAAAACTGCCAAAAACAGACTGGAGTTTGGAGAAGTTCGGTGATCCACCCAGCGTCCCACAGCTAGCACCAGGAAACCCCATCCTCATCGCCTCTCGAGAACACAGCATTCTGCAGGTCAAGGAGGGCTGTGGAGTTTCCTCTGTGCAGAAACCTCTGCACACGGACTCCTCCTTCTTGGAGCTCTGTGAGGGTGGGAAGGGCACTGGCTACAGCTGGGCTGTGGAGCAGGGACCAGTGGCTGGGAGAAGGGGCCTCACTGTTCCCACGGCCCTCCAAGGGTGCTGAGGGAGTATCATTATCATTACAATCATTATAAGTATCACTATAGACTCACCATTTACAAATATTTGGTGTGTTTCAATTCCCTGTAGTCGTTATTCTTAATGATGCTAACTTGTCCCCTGGGGCTAGTGGGAGCCTCTTCGGGTTGGCTCCCGTGCTCTTTTGATGTGACCCCAGTGGTCCTGGATGGTCTCCTGGCTCCCTGGGAAGACAAGATGTCCTGGCTCATCACATACGTTTCCTGCCCTGGCCTGGAGTTGGCCGTCTCCCTGAGCAGCCTGGGTTCATTCTGGTGACAAGTTGCATTGAGAGGTGCTCAGTGCCGCCTGGCTGGTCATTTCTGAAGGTGTCTCCGATGGAGAGAGTCAAGTGTTTGTACTGACCTTTACTTAGCAAGTGTGGCGGCCAGACTCTAAGGTGGCTCCCACGATGCCCACCCTGTACTCGGGCCTGTGTCATCCTCTTCTCTTGAGCGAGGGTGAGACCTGCGACTTGCCTCTAAACAATAGAATATGGCCTTCCACAGTGGCGCCCGGACTGCAGCCTGAGAGACCCTGAAGCAGGGGCCCAGCTAAGCCATGCCCGACACCTGACCCACAGGCGTTGTGAGATCATGAGTGTGCGCTGTTGTAAGCACTGAGTGCTATTCGTTATGCAGCAGCAGTAACTAACCCAATAACGGGATACGCTTCATTGATTTTCCTTTCAAATTGAAAAGAGACCCACAGTGGAGGCAACAAGTCAAGCACCCTGAGAGCAGGGCTGGCCGGAGGCTCGCTGCAGTGCCCTCTGAAGTAAGATTCAGTGTGGTGGAACTGACCGGGTGGCCTCCAGCTGTGTCCCATGAGCTGCAGAAGATGGGGTGGCAGGAACAGGAAGTGTCAGAGGACAGTTGGGGAGACTGGGCCCCCAGGGTCTGTGCCCCCTAAGCTGCGCCTCGCTCTTTTTTAGCCGGGGGGGTGGGGCAGGAAGAGCTCCCAGGAGACCCGCCCCGGGGAGAAGGGGACATAGACCACCCTGTCACTGCCGAGGTCTAGAAGTCTGGATCTCCTCAAAAGAGATGGCCAGCACTTCCTGTCCCCGGAGCCAGAGAGAGAAGGGTCCTCAGTAGCGAAGGCTGGGCCTTAAAAGTCCTGACTCCAGAGGTGCTGGAAACACCAGACTCAACGGCTTCAGAACCAGCAGAATGACGGCTCTGGGGGCGTGGCCACATATGCTGGAGAGGAAGAGCACGCACACGGCCTCGGCTTCTCCAAACCAGGCTTCCCTGGCCCACCCCATGTCCCTCCCACATCCGTTCACACCCGCGAGGACCAGGCGTCTCATGGAGGAGCCCTGCTTTATGCTCAGTTAGTGGGCAAAGCTGTGCTCGTCACATGGTGGGTGACAGGTGGCCAAGCAGTGGGCACAGAGTGGAGGTCAGAAGGACATCATGCATGCCAGCGGGAAAAGAGGAGGAGAAGAGTGACACAGTGGATCCAGTCAGTGTTTCCCAAACCTCAGGGGCCGGCAATTCTCCTGGAGAGTGTGTGAACACAGATCCCTGGGCCCCACTCACAGAGAGTCTGATTCGGAAGGTCTGGGGTGTGGCCTGAGAATCTCCATGTCCGTCAAGTCCCCCGGAAATGCTGACTCTGCTGGTCCAGGGGCCACACTTCAAGTAGCAAGGGGCTGAAGGGTGGATGAGTGACGAATGGATGAAGGATGAACGAATGAATGAATGACACCCAGTACATCACCCCGCAGCAGTCCAGGCATGCCTGGGATGGGACAGGAATAGTGCACATAACATGTACACACAATCACACACATGCAGAGAGACAGACACAGACACACATATGCACGTTTGCACACACATGCTTACATGCACAGAGATACATTACAAAGCCTTTCACGCAGACTCACAGAAACACATACACATATAAACATACAGATGTGCAAGCACACAGACACAGACATACGAACAATACACACACACACAGACACATACAGGCACAGACACATGTACACAAATGTATTAGTCAGGGTTCTCCAGAGAAACAGAACCAATAAGTGTGTGTGTGTGTGTGTTTGTGTGTCTGTGTGTGAAGAGGTTTATTATAAGGAATCAGCTCGTGCAATTATAGAGGCTGAGAAGTCCAGACCCAGGAGAGCTGATGGTATAGCTCCAGTCCAAGTTCAAAGGCCTGAGAAGCAGAAGAGCCAGTGATGTAAGTTCCAGTCTGAAGGTAGGAGGAGACAAACGTCCCAGCTTGAAGACAGTCAGGCAGCAAGAGAATTCTTTCTTACTCAGCCTTTTATCTTACTCAGGCTTTCAACTGATTGGATGAGGCCCACCCACATTGGGGAGGACAATCTGCTTTACTCAGTCCACCAACTGAAATGCTAATCTCATCCAGAAACATGCTCGCAGACACACCCAGAGTAATGTTTAACCAAATATCTGGGCACCCCATGGCCCAGTTAAGTTGACACATAAAATTAACCATCACAGCATACGTACACAAACACACATACTTACACACATATGCACATAAACACATACATACATTTCGTACACACTGAGAAACATACACACATTCACACTTAGACACACATAACAACAGAAACAAAGACAGATTCCTGGACACACACACACACACACACAGAGACACAGAGAGATGCAGACACACATCTGCACAGAAACACCATGCACACACACGTGCACGTGCATACCTTCCCCTGGGGAACCCTGTAACAATGCTGTTGTAACAGCTCCTTCCTAAGGCCCTTTGTGACTTAATGAGGGCCTCCTTGTGCCCTTGTTCACCCCACAGGCTTGGGGGAGGCGATGCTGACCATCACCCACATTCACAGATGGATGGGCCAAGCCCCAGAGAAGATGCAGTGACTGGGGCAAGTCTCAAAAGCCCTCTGAGCTTCACCCAGTGCCTCTGAAAGCGGGAAAACCCACAATGCTAACAGCAAGCAGTAATGATCACCTGCCCCTGCACTGGGCAGGGACACCAAGGCCGTGGCACCCCGCCTCTCCTCCAGCCCAGACCCCTGCTGGGGACGAATCCTAGCCGTGCCACAGTGATCAAGGCACAGAGCCTGTGGAAGAGACACCACCCTGGAGCCCTCGTCTCACAGCCCATGACTGCCAAAGTGTGAGCATCCCGGCACTGGCAGAGCAGGTCCAGCAGAACATGGGGCGGTCACAGCCACTGTTTATCGGATGCCACCGTCTGCCACGCCTGCGCTGACAGCAGTCCTAACAACCAGTCTCTGAGTAGCCAGGAACCCTAGAGGCCCCAAAAGTGTATGTGGCTTGTCCAGGCCACACAAACCCAGACATCCCTGTCTGAAATCCAGTACGACCCCACAGGAGCCCCTTGGGGCAGAGCTTCCACTAGAGGTGTTCAAGTGCGGCTCCTGGTTCAGAGAGTCGGCGGGCCCAGACCGCCTGGGAGCCTCGAGGCTTGGCATCCTTCCTCCCTCCTCTGTAACCCCGAAGTCAGGAGGGTGCACAAACCGCCCTGAAGCTAAGACCAAACAGCTTGCTCTATCCCAGCCTTGAGCATTTACATTGAGGGAGTCCCCACATCCTCACCATAGCCCTATCAGGGGGAAACTGAGGCACAGAGAGGGTGTCCCCCACCTAAAGTCACCCAGATGTTAAAAGGCAGAGCTGGATTCCAACAAACTATCTGGCTCCAGAGCGCCCACTCCCACTCGCTGGGCTGGGTGTAGAGAAGACTCTGCCAGGGCACCAGGGCCTCTGGGCCACACACTGGTCCCTCTCTTCCTGTGCCAGCTTGGAGCCTAAGATGGGAGACAATCAGTCCGTTAACCAGCAAACACTGCTCTCTCTCCATTCCAGGGGCAGAAATCGCCCCAAGGGAGGGTGTGCACTGACGAGCGGATGTACATCTTCTGAAACTGCAGTCTGCACCCAGCTTTCCTGCCCACTTCCCTGAGGATGCCCCTCACACCGGCAGACCACAGTCTCCTGCCCGGGCCACACAGACCCGTATCTGGGGCCTGAGAAGCGGACGGTTTGGAGAAGGAAACCCAAGTTATGCTGCTTCTGAAAATCTCTGCCGGTTTTTTTAACGTAACGTCTGTCCCATGTGTGTTTCGAGGGTAGAACATCGCAAGGGGTTTTGTTCACGGTCTTATTTTTCTTCCTCCTCCCCCTGCAAAGAACCGCTGTTTGGAAACTTTTATAAAGGAAGCGGTTGACTTTGTAGCCGATAAATGTAGAGGTGAGGAGCTTCTGGTCAAAATGATTCAGCAAGAAACCAGCCCGCCTCCCCCGCGAGCCCAGGGCCGCCAGCCCCCGCCGGCCGGCGGTAGGAGGGCGGGGCCCCAGCACTGCGCCCGGGGCGCAGCCCCGCGCCCTGCAGGCCGGCCCCAGCGCAGACCTGCCTCGCGCAGCCATGCGGCCGGCCAGGGCGCTGCTCGCCCTCTGCGGCCTGGTCTGGAGCAGCACGGGAGGCCCTTCCCGAGGTAAGAGTGTCCCCTCGCGCCCCCGCCCGGACTGGGGCCCCGGCGGCCCCGGGCGCTGTCCCGAGACTGGCCGACGCCGGGAGCCAGGAGCCTGGAGCCTCCTCCCCGCCGGAGCGCAGGCCATCCCCGACCCGCCGGCCATCCCCGACCCGCCGGCTCCAGGGGGTCCTCGTCCTGCTTCGGCTGCCTGCGGGGAGCAGGGGTGGGGGTCTGGGGACCGCGTGGGGACGAGGGAAACGTGTTCTGTCCCCTGCCACTCCCGGTTCTGCACAGCGACCTGAGAACAGCCCCCCTGAGGGAGGCCCCCAGGGTCTCTCCGCAGGGACCCAGCGCAGGGAGATGATGGTTAGGCTGCTTCTATCTGAGGGCTCGTTCCTCTTGCCTCAGGCTGCTGTCCTGTGCCTTGGCTCCAGGGACCCTAAGGATTAGACACTTTCTTCCTTCCTGCCAGGCCAGCGCTGGCAGGGAAGGCAAGGAAGGGAGATGCTGTCTGTGCGCTGGGAAGCTGAGGCACAGTGAAGTTAGGTGACTTGCCCATGTCACACAGCCAGTGAGCACCTGCTCCCCACACGTGGCCGCTGATGCCCTCCCAGCACCAGAAGCATCCGCCACGGATGCTGGTGGAGACTGGGAGGACCCCTTCCCCACCTCGTTCAACCAACGAGGAAGCTGGTGCCAGAGGGCTGAAGTGACCTGCTCAAGTCACAGCCCACTGCCCAGCAAGTGGGGACAGTGCAGGTGGCTGGTTTCTGCCCTCCTCCCTCATGGGAAGGGGGCTGGAGCCTGGTCACAGGTGACCAGGTGGAAGGTGTTCAAGCATGACCAGTGGCAAGGGGACAGCTCCAGCTTTTCGGTCGTGGAGGGGGTCACACCCTCTTGTGGTGACATTGCCTCAGGTCCCGGGACCAGCTCGAGTGGGTGCTGCTCAGGGGCCATGGGGCAGGACACCCTGCCTCCTTCCTCTGCCTGAGCATCGTTCTTAGCTCACAGCGGGCAGCCCCGACCCCTCTTGCCAGCCTCATAAGGCCCTCTCCTCCTGGCCCTGTCCTGATGGGACACCACTGTTTTCCTGTGCCCCTCCCTTAGTGCTCGTCTGAGGGGACAAGCCAGGGGAAGAAGCTGGGTATTCCAACCAGAGAAGCGCACTCCTTCTCAAAACCTCCGTGAGGGGTCTGCTGGGGGGATGTGGAGACAGCATCCCAGCCGTGCTGGGATGTAATCATTTGTACTTACTGTCAGTTGTGTTCCTAAGTTCCTTCTGCCTGCCTCAGTTTCCTCACCGAGCAAAGCTGGGACAGTACGGGATTGTGTGCCCTCGAAAGGAGGTGCTTACTTGAACCCCCAGAACACAGCTGGGTGGGTGTGGCCCCATAGAATTAATGGCAACAACCGAGTCACTGAGTTTTGGTGTTGTGTGAGAGGGGCGCAGGGCGACATCTCCAGGTGAGCAGACAGTGCACACCAGCACCTCTGGGCTTGTCATTCACTGCCCACCACCCCGGTCCTGAGGCACGGCCCTCTAGACGGTGAGCTCCAGGAGCCGGCCGACAGGCCCTCCCCCAGAGTCCCAGCACCTGCCCACGACAAGGGCTCCATGACTCTGGCGCTGCTTGGGGAAGGGCAAGTGCCGCTCCCCAGGGGAAGGCGCACCCAGCTGACGTGCGGAGGGGCACCAGCAGGGACCGGCAGTGTTTGGCTCTTGGGCACCCTGGCTCCCGTCTAGGGGATGGTTTCACAAGCTGGGGTTTCCTCCGCCTCCCTCCACATCTAGAACACTCCTGAAAGAGGAAGGTGGCAGGAACCCCAGCCTCCCCTGAGCACCCCCTTTCTCTTCCATATGCAGGAATTCCCCAGCAGGGCAGCTCATGGGGTGGGGCCCCTGTGGGGTGGGGCAGGTTGGAGGGGGCAGGGGCCCTTTCTAGAGGGCCTGGCTTCAATCTGTGGACTGACAGCCAGTGTCCTAGGTTCTAGTGCCCTCCTATGGGACATGCACAGGACAGCGTGCCATAGTTTTTCAGAAAAGTAAATTAAGGGATGTTTACCAAAAACACTTGCTACTGGATTATTTTACCAACTGTTCTTTGTCAGTTGACTGTGAAGTCCTTGTCCCACACCTCTTATTCGACAGTTGCCTGTAGGCTCAGTGGTAAGTGGAGGGCAGATTATATTCTCTTTAATCTGCATAGAAACAGTTAACTGTTGCTGCAACTAACACTCTGGCTCCTACTGTGTCCCCAAGCCCTGGAGTCACCTGTTCAACTGCAGATGTGATTTAAACTCAGAGATGTTTTCATGAAGAGTCTAGCCGGTCTGTAAATGAAGTACTCCACTCATAGAGGACGTGGGTCAGAGCCCTCAGAGGTGGGCCGCAGAGCCCGGCACAGGAATCGGGGGACCAGTGTTACAGTTCTGAAGAAGGGGGTGTGGAGGTGGAGCAGGAACAGGACAGGATGTTAGAGTAGAAATCATTTGTGATTTAGATGGAAAACTTACATTTTTAAGGGAGAGATATCAAAATGTTTGCTTGAAGCTTTGCTTCCCATTCTGATCACCAGGGAGAGGCCGGTGACCCTAGACTTCTTTGAATCATGGAATGTTGAAGAGGACTAGGGGTGATTTTACAGAAGAGGATGGCCCAGAGAATCCATCGGTGCAGGGCTCGGAACAGCGGAGGAGCCCCCCCCACCCCCGGATCAGTCGTCCTGGTCCCTGCAGCTCCCTGCGGTGCTGTTCTCTGGCAGGGCGGGGAGATCTGCAGACTCCCTCCTGTAGCTGATTCCCCCTACATTTTCGGTCTTAGTGCCAGCTCTACCGGGCCTGTTGCCTGAGGACACCAATATGCACGAGCCCAGGGAGGGGTCTACACCCGCTGGAATTCAGCTGTCCTCCCTCCAATTCCTTCAGCATCTTGCATCTCCCCTGTGCTGTCTCCTCTATGGTCACACCTGTGCGTCCAGGGGGCGGCACCTCCATCGCAGGCAGGTTGTACCCTGCTCAGTGCCTGGCTCAGCACCGCTGTCATCCTAAATTCCCTCCAAGTCCACTGACCTCCCAATCTCTTGCCATCAGAGTCATTTTTTTCAAGACCAGCTAAAGAGCTGTTTCTTCCCTAAGAGCAGTAGAGGGGTCCTTTGTGGAGAGTCCCGCCTCCAGGGCTGGTCCAGCAGCGTCTGCACTGGGGAGCGAATTCCTGCGTCTTCTCTCCTTCCTCACAGAGCCATCCTGGCCACCCCTGTCGGGGTTTACCCACCTCCATCTTCTCTGTTCCCAGAGGGCTTCCCACTGGCGGTAGACATGGCTGTGTGTGGCTCACGTCCCTCCCCCCGGAGGGCTCAGCGCTGCATTTCCGGCCCTGGGGCCCTGATGTCTTCTCTGTGGGCTCTCCCGGGTAGGCCGGCCTGGGGCGGGCGGGGAGGGAGGGAGTCCCGCTCATTGGCAGTCCTTCACTCCTTTCTGAGCTGCCTGTCCTGTCCCCACCCCAGCACTGTTCCTGTGCAGAAGAGTTTTCTGTTTCTTCTCACACAGCCACTCCTCTACTGATTGCCTCTCTGTTCACGTCACCCAGGCCGTCACCATGCCACCACTCTGAGTCACGGGGCCCCCATTGGCCCCACACCCAGCCTCCCACTGAGTCCTGTCACTTCTGCCTCCACGCTCAGCTCTCTTGCCCCCTCACCTCGGTCGTCTCCGCTGCTTTCTAACTGGTCCCCCAGCCGCCCTCCCTCAGCTCTCTGTACGCACGTGCAGGCAGGTTAGAGTCACTCCTGGAACCTGCCCCGCTGAGTCCACGGGCCGCCTCCTCTTGTGGACTGTGCGCTCCCTTCCTCCTGTCTCTGAGTCATCTTAGCATTGCCCACAGCACCTACAAGAAACACTTCTCTAATGAGTAAACAAGAGCGTGATCTCTGGAATGAGTTCAACCTGAGTTTAAACCCGCCCTGCACTCCTTTGAGGCCTCAGTTTCCTCACCTGAAGGATGGGGACATGCACGCCCCTGCAGAAGAGTGAGAAGAAGGGGAAGCAGAGGGGCCTTCAGAGAACAGCTCGCACTCGCCTCGCCCCCAGACTTCAGCTGCGGGCACAAACCCCAGATCCTGGTGCCTGAGGACAGGGAGGCCCCACTGAGGGGTGGGAGGGGCTGGGCAGGGCCCCCTCCATGTGCTCAGCGCTCTCGTCCCTGAAGGAGACCTGCCCCTTTGGGACGCTGATTTCCTCATGATCAGCCTTCCCTGTTGACTTCTCCTGAAGAACCATCCTAAAAATAGGTTTGACCTTTAAACTTGTTTAAAATTAGAAATGGAGCCTTCCTTGTTTGTTTAGATACCTGTGCTGATGAGGCTTTACTGAGGTGAAGCCTACATTTTAGGAAACATGTAGTTAAATAAAAGTAAACCAACTTCGATATTTTTCATAACCTTTTTGTAACTGTACCGAAATCGCTTAGGAACTGACCTCACATGTTTGGAAGCACATTCATTTGAGGTTCCCTGTAACCTAGTTTCACTTCATTTTTTTAATTCTGTTAAATTCAAGTGAAATTAAATTAATCTGTTTTTTTAAAAAAACAGTTAACAGTGGTTACCTATGCGATATTGACAAGGATTTCTAATGTTTTTGTTATACTATTCTGTATTTTACAAATTTCCTACCCAAAATAGGTAAGCTTATAATCAGTAAAAGCAATAAATGCAATTTATAACAAAGAAAAATAGCCATATTAATCCATGGGGTCGGGGAGGCGGTCCTCTAATCTCTAACAACAATACACTGAAGGCTCGATCTGTCCACAAAGGTGGCTTCTCTCTTAGCTGTTCAGACTACAGTGATGGGCAGAAACCAAGCTGTTTTCCAAAACATTTTTTGTTAAGACTGAAATCCACACTCAGCTTCCTGTCGTCAGTAAGGCCCGGTCCCCCCAAGTTAGCATCAGTACGCTTGGCACCAGGAGACCTCCCAGTGCCACCTGGGTCAGAGCCACCTGGGGAGTCTGGGGAAATGCAGATTCCAGGGCTAACCCAGCCCGACTAACCCGGCTGCTGGCGCTTTTCCTTATTTCCATCTTCAGAGACCTTGAGTGAAGGTTTCAGCCCAGCTTCTGTGGGGAGGTCATACGAGGGCTGGATTATTGCAAAGGAAATCCCAGAGGATGGTTGTGGGGACAAAGCTATGGGGAAAATGCAGACCAGCAGATGGCCTTACCTCTATGTTGGGAAGGGCCCCAGTGATGTGCTAGTTTCAGGGGGGACAGAGGGCCAGGTTCTTCAGGGTGCTAAAGCATAGGGAGCCTCACAAAGGAACCGTGAGCTTGGTCCTGACGTTTTTGCCTTCCAGCCCAGGGAACCAGCTGGGGAAGACCCGTTGGCCAGGTGGTCCTGCTTGGTCAGGCAGTGCCAGCCCTCCCCCGATGGTGGGACGCCCCTCAGGGTTGCAGAACTTAGCTGGACCCATGCCTCCTCAGTCCCCTCCCAGCACTCCTTCTGCTGCACTGCCCACAGGGGAGAGGAGACCGGCAGTGGGCTACGCGGTGCATGGGCCAGCCAGATGCCCCACTGTCCTGGCTTTCGCACTCGGGGCAGGGGGGTCAGATGTCCAGGTTCTAGGGAGGGCAGACCTCATGTGAGGGTGGAAATGGCCTCCTCTGGAACCCTGCTCTCTAAGCTGGTAAGATCTTACACCCTGGCAGGGCCTCTCATCTCACCCTGTTCTGTCACTCGTGTCACCCAGGCCCCTCCCCGAGAGACTGACCCCACCCTGGGACCATATGGACAGTCTGCTTCAGAGACCCTGCACCCATCTATAAAGCTGTCACCTCTCTCCTCCCAAGGCTGCAGCCCCCCAGGGCTCTAAGGCGCAGCCCTTACCAGCAGGCCAGAGCAGGCACATAGCGCCATCCTGCTGGGGGCAAATCCTCCCGCAGTTCAGGCTTCCTGTGCCCACCCTAGCTAGCCCACCCGCCCTGATTGCCAGCCCCTAATTCCTCTCAGCTCCCTTCTGTCAGTCCTCGTGAACAGGGGATTGCTTGTCCCCAGTGGGACATTCCATGGGAATAACACTTCTGTTAAAGCCGTGCGCCCTGTCAGTTCGTGCTGCTGTTTTCCTGCCTACCACTCACATTTCTTCACAACCCAGGGAGCCAGCTGGGTCTCAGTCCCTGAAAGCTGGAATCCCTTGCCACCGTTATCTTCCCAGACAGTACGTGTCTACAACCCAAACACACCTGGATCTCCAGGCTCAGCAGAGGCTGCCAGTGAGGAGGGGGAGGGGACAGGGATCTCCTTGCTGTCCGTTCTCTAAGCCTGGAAGCCTGTCTGGTTAGTGCCACTGCTGCCCACAGGCTCCGGGTTTCCACGACCTGCTGCTGTGGCACCTCCACAGATGAGCTAAACCCGGCCTCCCTGACTGAACGCAGAGGCCTGTGCCACAGCTGCTCCCCCGCGTCATGGCCACGGGAAGCAGAGCAGTTCTCCAGGGCAGTGCAGTCCAGTGGGACCCTCTGCAAGGATGCAACATCCCTCTCTACACCAGACAGGGCCGCGTGCCACTGAGGAGCTGAACCTTACCTTCCATTTAACTTATGTAATAAAACAGCAGACTTGGCCGGTGCCTGCCTTGTGGGACAGCTCAGCTCTGGATCATCTCTGGCACACCAATATTTCAGGAGAATCTAGGGGAAATTCTTAGTAAAGAGAAGCAGCTTACAAATCCAAAAACGCTCTTCCCCATTCTCTTTGTCTCCTCAATTTATTTAGATTTTTCCCCAAAGCTTTAAACTTTTTGTTATTTGAATATACAGGTAGTCCATGGCCATTGTAGAAAAATTGAGAAACATGGAGAATCCTAAAGTCCAGTCACTCACGAGCCATCAACCAGAAAAGGCTGCCATAGTTGTTGCTACACAGAGTCTGTGGGGCTTTTGGTATCCTATTTTCTTTATAATAAAATCCAAAGTTCATAACTTGAATTAGCAAACACCCACGCAAGGCCCGGCCTCACTCTCGGCACTCTGGTCCCCTGAGGCTTCGGACGCCACTGCTTGCTCTCAGACCCCGTCAGGATCTGCGCAGATGGCACAGCCTGACCCTCGTTCCCGCAGACAGACCCCGACGGTTCCTGTCCCGCCTCTCCTGCTGCTCTGATGTTTCTCTTGCCTGTTTCCATGTGGAACGTGAGCTCCAGGCCGCGGGAGCCTCTGCGTCCCTGAGCCTGCAGGACAAGGACAAGGACTCAGACGGGGCCCGGCACGCGCCTGTGAGCGAGCTGGACGATGGGGTGAGGTCCAGGGCTTCTTCAGGGAGGGGTCTCGGGTCTGCCCGGGCTCTGCTTCTGTGGAGCTGGGAGTGGATGACATGGAGAGCAGAGGAGAGGTATGGGGTTCCTGTTCTGCCCGGCTCTGTCGGATGCTGGGTGACATGACTGTTGGGAGAGAATCCCTCATGTTGCTTCCGCCATCTTTTATCCAAATTGGGGCCTCCTTGGAGCAGGAAGAGCATGGAAGGATGGAAGAAATCCAGCCATCTGTCCCTCCTCCACTGAGTGCCCACTCTGTAGTGGAGCTGTGTGGGATGAAGTCGCCCAGGCCTGGCCCCCATCCACAGACTTGTACCCCAAACAGCATGGCAGGAGGCAGCACATGCAGGGCACCAGGTGCTATGGCGCTGCTGGGGAGCAGGGTCGTCAGGGAGCGGGGGCCCTCAGGGAGCGGGGGTCCTCTGGGAGCAGGGGCCCTCGGGGAGTGGAGGCCCTGGGGGAGCAGGGTTCTCTGGAAGTGGGGGCCCCTCTGGGTGGGCTGCCCTGGAACTGAGGTGGAGGATGGCAGCAGCCTCCTTAGAAGTGAGAAGGCAGGACGGGCCTTTGGGCACTTCCTCATGGTCCACTTCTTGGGGACAAAGCTGAGTCGTCGGGGCCAGATGGCAGCCTTGAAGGCCAGCTGCGGCGACCTCTCCTAATACCTTGAGGCTGCATCTTGTCCAGAGGCTCCACCACCTGGGGATGTGTTCAGGTTTTCTTTAACACATGTTGGAAATAACCCTGGGTCCTGAAAGGGGCTGTGTGAGCAGGGACAGGGGGACGGGGACTACATCTTATCCATCATTGTAGCACCCACTGCACATGGTCCTCAGCTCTACGTATGTGTAACCATGGGTATGCACAGCAAATGCACTGTTGGGGTGAGGGGTGGACAGGCAGGGGTGGGTGGGCAGGAGGCCACATTGGGAGCAGGGAGGAAAACTGCACCAAGGCATGAGGTGTGACTCCTGGACCGAGGGCCCTGCTAACAGCATTGTTCTTGTCTGGTTCTGTGTTTCTCTCTCAGATTTTTGTTCCCAGATCCTTAACTCAGATGTGAAGCCAGGATTTCCCAAAACAATCAAGACCAATGATGCAGGAGTCCTCAAAGCGGCCAGACACAGTGTTGAAAGGTTCAACAACTGCACAGACGACATCTTCCTCTTCAAGGAGTCCCACATCAGCAGAGCCCTGGTCCAGGTGAGGGTCTGGCTTCTGCCTCCTGCGTCTGGGGGACACCCCTAGGACGCCAGGCTGTAGCGCCTCCTATCTTACCAGGGCCCACCTGTCTAGTGCCCGGACCATCCAGAACACAGACCCGGGCCAGGAGGCTGACAGCAGCAGCCACAAATAGCCTGTGAGCAGCCAAAACCAGTGTCACCCAGAGTGGAGCACAAAGGCCCGGAGCCTCTTACGTATACCACGCTTCTCCTGGGCAGAGCCACCAGGCCAGTGGCCCACAGCACAACAGGACTGGGACCGAGGAGGGCAGGAGCTGAACAGGCTACTGTAGGTGGGGGCTGAAGGCCGCAGGGGAGGAGCCAAACTGAGGAAGGTGTGAACCCTGGAGCTGGGCCCGGTCCCTCAGAGCTGCCTGCTCTGCCCCGCCCCCGCCTGCACCACAGCCCCACAGGACTTCTTGCCATTCTCCACCCCGCCTGCCGTGTTGCCCTTTGCAGAGCTATGCCCAGGCTGCGCCCCCTCCCCAACACACAAACCCTCAGCCCGCCCAAATGTCACGCCTGTGAAGTTGCACACACTGGGAAGTCCACACCTCCTCAGTGACCTCTTACAGAGGGTGGCACTCTCCCTCCTAGGGGGACCCTAGGGGGCAGAGCAGGCCTTGTCACCTCTCTCCCCGACAACACAGGGTCAGTGCAGGCTATGGGATGCAGAGCAGTGAGGAGGTGGGATCAGGAGGTGGCTACCCGGCGGTCCCTGCCTTTTGCTAAACCCAGGGATAGCGTGCAGCCATTCAACAGCAAGTGTCACATTCATTGCTGTGGAGGCTGGCTTGGGACAGGACCCACACACTCGCGTGGATATGCAGTGGAGCACGGAAGGAGAGGCTGCAGTGGCTAACGGTGTTGACATGTTCGAAAGGTTACCCCCCCCCGTCACAGGATTACAGGCGATGTTTATAATCTTTATGCTTTTTGGCAATTGCAAACTATTTAAGAGCAGTATGTTTTTACACTTAGAAGAGCATGTTGTAGAAAGGCAGTCTTGTGTGGGATGGGCTTTATAAGGCTTTCCACGGAAAGAGCCAAAGTGTCATCACCTCAAGGGCTCAGCCCCAAGGACCATGGGGTCTCTGCTCGCAGGCTCTCCCCCTCCTGCAGGAGGGCTGCAAGGATGAGATGCTCTGTGCCCGACCGAGGCACAAGGGCTTTGTGAGGGAGGACGGGAAGTTGACCCTCAGTGATGTTGGGAACGACTTTATTTCACTTAGTACTTGGTGGGACTGAGACTAAAAACTGAGGAATTTTTCTCCAACTCCTCTGAGACCACAAATGAGGAGAATGACCTAGGTTGGTCCCATGTTCAAGTGGAGAAGGGCTATTTTGAAACTGAAAACAAAAACAAACCCACCGTTGCCACCCAGGGCAGGGCTAGCAGTCAGCACAGACCGAGGGTGGTGGTTAGGGCACGGGGGCGGGGGTGGGGTGGCGGTAGGACTTCATCTTTGGCTGGGGGCCGGGCAACCCCAGTCTGATGTGCCCCCTGATGGAGAGTTCTGGGCAGGAAGGAGACATCCTAGGACAAGACACAAAGCCCACCTCTCGTCCAGAGGTATGTTCTTGCCATTCTCCACCCCGCCTGCCGTGTTCTTGCCCTTTGCAGAGCTATGCCCAGGCTGCGCCCCCTCCCCAACACACAAACCCTCAGCCCGCCCAAATGTCACGCCAGCCTCCACAGAGAGCTGGCACACGAACAGAGAGCTGGCACGTGAGCAGGAATGAGAAGATGAGTGAATAAGGAAGGGACAGGGAGGGGTCTGGGCTCCAAGTGGTGGCTTCCTTCCCAGAGCTCTTCTGGTAAGTTCTAGATATTCCCTCCACACCGCTCACTCCCTTTTTAGGGGCACAGCTGGGCATCTTTACCACCTGTCTTCATGCTGCCTCCTGCTGCTGGAGGATCTGCCCTTCCCTTCCGTGCTGGACCAAATAACCCCTGTTGGGCCCGCTGTTCTCTGTAGATAGTGACAGGCCTGAGGTACATGCTCGACGTGGAAATTGGCAGAACCACCTGCAAGAAAACCAAGCACCCTAGTCTGGACAACTGCGACTTCCAAACCAACGGCACCTTAAAGCGGGTAAACAAAGGGGTCTGTCTTCCTCAGACCCGCTCGCTGCCATCCCGGCCCCACCCCTCCAGGCCTTTGGGAAGAACCCATTGGTCACTTCTCCGCCAGTTCCCCTCTCACTGCTGAGGAGACCGGGACTCCCAGCCCGGTGCAGTGCCCACAGACCCGGGAGAACAGAGGGCAGACTCCCAGAGAACGCTGCCAACAACCCACCCTGCCCCCTCGCTCCAAGAGGCACATGTCCAGGCGATAAATGCTGTGGGTTTGGGGTGGGGGAGGTTCGAGCCAACAAAGAGCTTATATATATAAGAAATCGTGTATATATGTATATAAGAAATTAAATATATATACACACGTACACATACATGGAGAGCAAATGTGACAAATTTAATCATAAATATAGGTGAAAAGTATATATTCTTGAATTATTCTTTCAGCTTTCCTGTAGGTTTGAAAAAACGCGGGGCAGGGAGAGAACTCCTCAGTAAAGAAAATGCACACGTACACATATGCACACATGTGCATACACGCACACACTGCCCCACAGGTAGCAGCACGGGCCACTGGCCTCTGCAGGGTACATCAGGAGGGCGGCCCCTGTGACAGGCAGGGCAGTTCTCAGGTGCCCCTCTTTGTTTCAGACTCTGAGCTGCTACTCTGAAGTCTGGGTCATCCCTTGGCTCCAGAGGTTCGAGGTGCCTGTTCTCCTTTGTCACTGACTTCCTCTCAGCAAGACTGCAGCTGGGATGATCACGCATCACCTGTGCTCTTTATTGCCCTCAGTCCCAGCTCCGTTCCCGGCTGTCACAGACCCTCTGGGCCTTCGGAAATAGTATCTCATGAGTGAGCAGAATGGAAGTGCCCGTGGGTTCATGGCAGAATAGCTGGGACAGAAGCCACCGCCCCGTGACTAGATTAAATAGATTGCATTTTCTTCTAAACTTAATGAATTTTACTGATGCTGTGCACCTGATTCAGGGTCTAAACATATGGGACTGAGTCCTCCAACGGGAATTATTCGGGTTCTTGACCCCTGAGGGAGCCCCCTCCCACTCGATTACCCTGTGGTCTCAAGCTTGCTGATGAAAGCCCAGAGATCCATCCTCACGTCTGAGTAATCATTACAGCACTGGGCGGGGGACACGTCTGCTATTGAGCATCTTGACCTTTCGTGGATGAATAAAGTTATGAATAAATGTGAACAAAGAACTGACCATCTCAAAGCAATGGCTGTTGCTCTACCTATTAAAGGGAGAGTCAGGAAGGTGAGGTGAACACTGTGAGGAGTCTCCCTCACTGAGTGGTCTGACTAGTCTCAGTTACTTCCATAAAGCCCTCGGAAGCTTTTCCAGCCGTTAGCTGCTACCTAAAATGGATCCAAGACCAAGGCAGCCGGAAACAGGCCAGCCTGTATCCACATCCTGAACCGGCAGAGCCAGCAGCATCCCACCTCAGAGGGCACTCACCCACCAGCTGGGCTTTCTTCTGATTGGTGGCCATCCACCCAAGTTCTCTCTGCTGCCTTTGAGGACCCAAGTTCTCTCTGCTGCCTTTGAGGCTAAACATATGTATAGTTGGGACAGATGGGGTGGGACGGTGCTGGGACCACCCCTCCAGACCCAGCCAGGAGAGGGAGCCTGCCCCAAAAATCCATCCAAGAGAGGGAGCACCCCCCACAGACCCATCCAAGAGAGGGAGCACCCCCCACAGCCCCACCCAGGAGAGGGAGAACCCCTCATAAGCCCACTCAGGAAAGGGAGCATCCTTCCACAGACCCACCCAGGAGAGGGAGCATCCTCCCACAGACCCACCCAGGAGAGGGAGCATCCTCCTACAGATCCACCCAGGAGAGGGAGAACCCCCACAGACCCACCCAGGAGAGGGAACATCCTCCCACAGACCCACCCAGGAGAGGGAGCACCCCCTCCCACAGACCTGTCCAGGAGAGGGAGAACCCCCCACAGACCCACCCAGGAGAAGGAGAACCTCCCCGTAGCCCCACCTACGAAAGAAAAACAAGGTTAAGGATGGACATGCTGTGCTGGGAACCCTGGGGAAGGAGGAGACTGCTGAGCTAGAAGGTCCCTGGAGAAGACAGAGTTTGCACTTGTTTGGAAGCAGTGCAAGGCTGAACCACAGAGGAGAAGCCCAGGAGCTTCCCTCAGAGGAGAGAAGAGCCCAGATACCCTGTGCCGGTAAGACCAGTGCGAATGCAAGGGCCACTCACTTGGGACTTTGTCCTCTCCAGTCCCTCTTCAGACTACGGATCAGTACAACATACGTTGTCGCCTTTAGAAAATATGGACTTGATAATTCATAGGAAACAGAAAATCTGCATTAAATATGTATGGCAATTGAGCACACTGTAGTAAACATAATCAATGTGAACAACCAAAATGAATTACCTTTGGCATCCTTCAGTGATGAGAGTAACTGTAATTCCAAATCCTCATTCATTTTTGCTGCCTTGACTTGCCTCCTTCAGGTCATTTAATTCAGTGACAGCGGTGGCAACCATGCCACAGACATTTAATTTATTCGCTGATTCTGAAAGCCCCTGAAAGCCATCCTTTCATGAAGATAAACGAGTTCACCTAGCGCTGTTGACCCCATACATTAACAAGATGGCAGGCACACCTGGAGTGACAGAGTCTCAGAGCCAGACAGGGCCTCAGACACAGCTGGATGGGGCCTACATGACCTATGCAAGATGATGCAGCAAGAGAAGAGGAAGCCCCCATGCTCTGAGCTCCCATCCACCCTCAATTACATTTAAATACGGACCAGAGCACATCAAAGTCAGGCTTCTCCAAAATACTTAGGCCTCCAGATGCATCCAGCCCACCTGGCCTCACAGGCGGAGGTCAGAAATGGAACGAATGCATTCCATTCATTCCATTCGTTGGGGAGGGCAGCCTCACAGCACCCCTACTCTGAGCTGCGTTTGAACTCCCCCTTTGCCCAGCCAGGAGCCAGGGCTAACCTTCCCTCCAGAAGGGAGGGAGGAGGAAGCCTCAAATCCTAATCTCAAAACTCGCAGGTTTGAACATCAACCTATACCCACAATTTTCAGATCATTTGAAGCCAGGTATTTATCCTTTCCGTTAAAGTAAACAAAGAGAAATCTTATAACTAAGGCAAACTAGCCACTGCAGAAGCCAGTTGGCCGTGTGGCCCCCAACCTCAGGCTTCTGCAAACTTTCTTTACGTGGGGCCCTCAGGGCATGACCTCCAGGTGACAGGAGCTCTACTTTTTAATAGTCCACTGTTTTATTATTCCTAGTCTGTTTTATGGATTATCCCTCACAGAAAAAAAGGCTCGTCCTCAACTCACTCAAACCAGCTACGGTGACACCAGGAGGAAAGGGGCCGGGTGGCAAGCCAGTGTGAGGCTACCCTAATTTCTGGAAGCCTGCAGCGGGCGTACCTTTGCCTTCTGCAGAGACGTATCTACCAACCAAACTACCGTGGACATTTGTTCCAGCTGACCGAAGAGCAGGCCCACAGGCACTGTGCTAACTTGACTGTGCCAAATCCATTAGCTTGTCTCATCATGACTTCGACCACTGTGAAAGATGGTTCTCTCCACACTCAGTACACTAAAGCCCACCTGAGAAGGAAGTGCCAGAGAGCCACGCAGTAGACTCAAATGAAAGAAACAAAACACCCACATGGAGATGGCGTAACTTACCGCAGGTAACAAATGTCAACCAGTGATGACTTGAAGTCCTGTATTGCCAACCCAATTTTACCTGTTTTGTTTTGTTTTTTCTCCCCAAAGCCCCAGCACATGGTTGTATATCCTAGTTGTAAATCCTTTTACTTCTTCTATGTGAGCCACCACCACAGCATGGCAACTGGCAGACAGGTGGTGTGGTTCCACGAGCGGGGAACGAACCTGGGCCGTTGAAACAGTGAGCACGCCAAACTTTAACCAGTAGGCCATCAGGGCTGGCTCGCAATTTTATCTGTTTTTTAAAAAAAACTATCAGCTTTACTCATACTAGAGCGAATGATTCTGACAGAGGGAAGCTGTGCCATCATCTAATGTCATTGTCACTGAGAAAATGTAAAGTTAAGTACCCAGGATTCTAAGACATACCAGAATTATGACCAAAAAGAAGAAACACTTTTGTTCAAGATCTCCAACTGACCAAAACCAGCCAAAATTCTAACAGACAGCCCTGCCCGAGTGTTTAGAGCTTTTCCCCGGCCTCCCCCTCCACACCTCCTCACCAGCGGTACACAGACTCTCAGGGATCAGCTCCACTGCCCGCTGCTCCTGACGTCTGCCCAGCCTAGCCCCTTTAGGCTGCTGGTGGGCCCAGGCTGTGATGAATGTCCCACCTGCCCACAGGGGCCCTTGTGAAGCTGTAAACTACACTGATGCCCGGGCTGCTCCAGACACCCGGGCATCCCAGAGGACTCGGATGTGCAGCCAAGGTCTGACCCCTGGACTGGGCAGTGGCCATCACAGATCCCGGTCCTGGGAATGCCACCCTGCCTCCTCCTCATGTCCCAGCTTCCCCAGCAGATTCTGCAGTCACAGCATGGGTGCTGGATCAGCTGTGACTCTGGGCACATCACTCCCCTCCCCCAGCCTCAGTTCCCATCTGTAAAACAAGGCCATATGTCCTTGCATCATTACAAGGTTGGTGTACATGAAAACACTTTCAAAACTAAAGACCTCTCTGCAAGTGTATGTTGATGATAAAAATCTCAAAATGGGACCTCTGTCCTATAAAGGGCAAAGACTGAATTCTGATGGAGTTCTTGTAATAGATAATAAAGAAGCACAAATGAATGAATCACTTGATTTAATTTCAAAAGCACGTTAGTAATTCACATTAGAGCAAATCTGTTTTATGTCTACAACAAAAGCATATCACATATTTAAACCTAATGAGGCTATATTTTGTACCTCACCATGGCAAATTACCAGATAAAACACAGGAAATGACACTTTGAGACAGAAAATCAACATCTGAGTCAAAATCAAGACTCCTTTGCTGAAAACTGTGAAAAGCAATTTACCAGCTTCTTTGTATCGGCAAAAATTAAGCACTAAAAGCAAAGCCTTCTGTTCTCAATCAAGAAGTCAACTTATATAGGCTCAGCACATTTAAATTGTTTTTTATGGCAGAATGATCAGGTTTTACCTTATATTCCTGTATACTCGATATATGGGGCACACCATTATCTGTTAAAAAGTATTTAATAATCACCACGCAATTTCTTTCCTACCAAGTTATCGAAACAATACGAAGTTGTTCGTCTGACACAACGTGGGTCACGTCTACCAAACGGAAGCCCATGTGACTGTCTTACGACTGCTGCACACAAAGCCAGCCCTGAGCAACCACCAGATCTGACTCCTCCCCTAAAATGAGGCTGGACCAGCACATCTGCCGCTGGGAAAGGGAGCAAAGGGGTTGCTGCCAGCCAGCCAGTGAAACAAGTCACAAATGGTTCAGATTTTACCAAGGCTGTCAAACCTCTTCGAATTTTAATATCATTACCTGTTTAAAATATTGTGTTTGTCAGATTATTAAAAACAATTCCAGACACAATCTCTTGTGCATTCTCATAAACACCCAGGAAAGAGAGGAAGAGATATTAGCCCCATTTCGTAGGCTGGAAAACAGGAGAGCAGTGTGTATCACCTTGCCCAAGAATGCATCAACACCGGGAGGCACGCCAGAGGCAGCGGCCTGGAAGAGGTCCTGAGCAAATCAGAGGGACTGCTCGTCCCTAAAACAAGACCTAAACAAAAACAATCCGTGTGTCAACACTCGACAGAATCAAATTTCAGTCACTGTTAAAATAATTATATTAAAGTAGAGCAGAAACTCCCAGGCAACACCATCAAAAAAGGTTAATCAGCAGAAAAATCAATTTAATCATTATTATTACACGGGTCTCCCTGATAAAATCAGGACCAGTGTGCAGACATATTTCTCAGGATATACAGCAACTTCAGGCTTGTGACAGTCAAGCAAAGATGACATTAACGTGAACTATTCACGTCTGTGGGTCTAGATGTGAGGAACCAAGGTGTGCAAAGAGGACTTCCCTAAATTCACCCCTGCGGTGCCCAGCCATTGGATCCGTCAATGCATGTGGTAGGTTGCTCACAGAGAGAAACCCAGTGAGTCCTCGGAATCAACATGCTTTTCCTACGCACTTACTGAGGTCCTTGCCTTTCAGTGTTGATGGGGACTCAGGAAAACCTTCTGGTAGGGAGGGAGGCTGGTAATGGGAGCTATGGAAGGGAGCGCCCATGGACCCAGGGCCCGTGTCCTGCACAGCTCTGGAGAACACAGTTCTGACGTCTTCACTGGCACAGCTGTGCCCACTGGCCTCAAGCACTTATGCACTGAGCTCTCCTTGTCCTTCCCACGTCCCTCCCCCAAAGAAAGGTTTTACTTCATTAAAATGAAGAGTAAAGACATGAAGCTGGCAGGACAGAGCCAACAGCAGAAACAAGATCCCCGGACAGCTCATCTACTGCTCTATCCCCAAATCCTGAGGCCTGTTAAAGTGTATGAAGTCTCCCAAGTCCTAGAGAATTACTGTACTTAGAAGGTTTTTTTAAAGAGAAAATGGCTTTACGTGGACTTATCTTCCCTACGGCAGATGTTATGCTTCCCTGTAAATGCAAAGTCAGACCCAGGTTGGAGGGGTGTCCTGCCAGGACCCACACACCTGCAAAGTTGCACCACAATTCCAGGACCAGCAGGGCAGATGAGCAGGGCTGTGTCCATGGCGCCTCCTGGACCAGGTGTGGTGCCCAGTGTGACGACTCTGGCACAGCTGCGGTTGGGGCTGCTACACAGACTGGAGGCTGAGTCTGCAGAGGAAAGGGGACCTGAAGGAGCCCAGGTACAGATGCCCGTCCTGCTCGTGCACTTCGCTGAGGTAGGTGACCACCTGCCCGTCGGGATCATGCAGGCTTCTCTGGAACGCCCCACTGTCGCTGAGTTCTAGGACGAGGCTGTACCGTGGCACAAACTTCATCACCGTCTCCTGACTAAACAGCTGGAAAGCAAGCACAGTGCAAGAAGAGTTTACCTTCTGACTGAGAGAATGACATGAGCAGATCTGACCTGTTAAAAACAAGACAACAGGCCCAAAATGGAGTCGCTTATGCTAAGCCCCACGACACCAAACCGAGACTTAACTTAATTACAGTTTCAGCTCTCCCAGAAATGGAATCTTAAACCAGTCAATCAGCAACTGCCTGATCTGCACCAGGTAGGTGATCTGCCTGACAGACCCCTGCCATCCCCTGAAGGAAAGGGACCTGCAGTCACCAACCCGCTTCTCTGCCTAGAATACCATCCTTGATCCTGCTCCTGTCTGCCTATAAAGTCTCTTGCCTTGTACAGCTTTGGAACTCCTTTCTGTCTGCTGGATTGGATGCTGTCCAATTCATGAATCATTGAACAAAGCCAATAAGCTCTTTGACATTTACTCAGTTCAATTTTATTTTTAACAGACCCCACAGTCCCTCACCACTTAGTAAGGGCCCAGCTCCTCCAGTGACAGGGAAGCCACATAAGGCAAAGCCAGGTTAAACCAGCTCCCGGCTCCCAGCACACAGGGCCTGCCCCACCGCAGGCCTCCCCACCCCCTGTGCAGACCATGCCAGGGAGCCTCCTGTCACTTGCATCCAAAGATGCAAGGCTAGCCCAGCACAAAGACAGCAGCTATCTAACAGTCCTCGTGGCAATGCCCCCCAGACCCGCAACACTGGCGCCTCTCTGGATGACCTGGCTGACCACAGAGAAGCACAAATCACAATCGAGGAAGACACAGCACATCAAGGCCTCGAGTGACGTCAAGCCCAGAATGCCAGGTTAAAACTCGTACAGCCTAACTAGAATAAAACCAGTACAGCCTAACTAGAATAAATGCCACGCCCTCTGATTAGGTTTCAAATATTTCAAATGTGCAAGGTACAAATGATGGAGATTTGAGAGTGGTTCACATTAAGGAAAAAATACCCGGGCAGGTTAAATGAACGTGTCCCTGCCCCATGAGACAAGGCAGCTCTCCGTGAAGCAGCTAGAAAGGGAGGGAACACCTCCATGCTGAGCAGCGCACCCTCCAGGAGCCCCTGGCTCAGCTAGGCAAGGGGCACACAGGGCTAGTGAAGGGTTTTAAGCAGAGAACCCACATCGTGAGATACACAATTTCCAGCAGAGCAGAAAGACTCCAGGCTGGAAATGATGACAAAGTATGCCACTGCATAAGACCAATGAGTGAAAATTAACAGGCAGATTTCTACCTTTTACTGTAAGAGAAAATAACCAAACAATTCCAAATGTTCAATGAATAATGTCTCCTAGTCATTGGAAATGACCAAATGAAAAATTTGACTGTGTTCAAGAAGGTTTTACAGTGATGTATCAAAGTTGCATTATAGCTCAAAATATTCCATAAGGCTTCCCACGACCCATGAAATGCCACCTCCCTTCAGTCCTAGGTCCTCCCTCTCTGCTTTATCTGATCCCTAAGAGATCTCATCCCCTCTCAGTTTTAGTCACTTTCCCAGAAAGCTCTCAAATCTCCCCCTCAATTTCCAACCCCAGTGCTAAATTCCTCACTGCCTGGGACCCATCTCCACCCAGGGTTTCTAACAGCCCTTCAAATCCAAGACTCCCCAGCTCAGGAGAAAGGGCCCGACACCAGCTACTGATGCCAGGAACCCGGCCCTCACGTTTGACTCCTGTCTGTCTAAGGCCTGCAAGCCAAGTACCACAGGGTCTTGTCATCTGCTGTGTATATACCACCCCCACCCTGGGCTCTGCCCCACCCCCTCTCCTGGCTGCTGCAGCCACCTCCACACCAGGTCCCCACACCAGTGGAGCCTGCTACAGAAAGCTTTCCACACAGCAGCCGCAGGTACCTTCTCAGAACATTCTCTGTACTACATCACTCCCCTCCCAACAATTCAATCAAGAAGCAGCTTGTGGGCTGAGCAGGGTAGGTGCGTGCAGAGGGTGGGGGAACCCCAGTGGCCCAGACCAGGGAGTCAGTCTGAGCCCACACTGGGGGAAGGGAGCAGGCAGCGGCACGGAGTAGGGTGTCAGAGTCCAAGGGCAAGATGGTGTCCCCGCAGTGGGCAGCCTGGCATGGGCTGTGAGAGCCCAAGAAGGGTGTGACAGTGTCCCCGGAGTGGGCGGCCTGGCACGGGCTGTGAGAGCCCAAGCAGGGCGAGGAGACTGTTTACCTGGGGAACAGCTTGGTGTAGGTATCAGAGCCCTTAGGGGGAAAGGCAGGCCCCTGCATGTGGAAGGAAGAAGGCGGCCCAGTGTGGGGTGCTAGAGCCCTAGCAGGGGCCATGTGACAGGGGACAATGGCTACACATTGGTGACACTTAAGCAATCTGATCAAATAGGTGTGAAGGATAATGGGATCCAGGTTTCTCGCTATTAGAGAAGGAAGTACCATATTTGTAAGGGGAAGAAAACTAGAATAAATCCTGTGGTCTGGGACTGGAAGGAGAGATACCAGCATTACTTTAAATAAACAGATGACAGATAGATAAATGTAGCTGCAAACATGTGTATGTATGTTGTATTCATGTATATATGAATGAATACAAATGCATATATTCCCCGGCTTTGTCCATTGAGGGGGCCTGGGAGCAGCGACACCCCAAAAGCAATGAGCACACTTAGCACCAGATCTCCTCTAGAAGGAACCAGGGCTCCTTGGGGAAGTGGTTGATTCCAGAGCTGGGGCAGAGAAAATACAAGACGAGCCTGAATAATGTGTGGTGCCAGAAAGCCAGGAGTCACTCCAAGAATGATAGGGACTTGTCCGAAGGTCGAGGAGCCACACTGAAGGGGCTCCCACTGGCCACAGCTGGACAATTTGAGCATCAAGATAAATAATGATAGTAACAGATTATAACCCACTGAATAAAATAGGCAACCAAGATATCATACTGATATTTACTTAGTTAAAAAGTACCTCCCCACAAAATACTAATTAATTACAAATGGAAAAAGAGTGCCTTCACAGTGGAGAAGCCTGGCATTCACCACTAAATCAGATGGCCAATGCTGCCACCACCAGCACTGGACAAAGTTGACAGCATGCCCCTGCTGACAGGACGTACTGAGGACACTTCGCTTCCGTGGACTTCCTGCCAGAGACACACAACTGAATCTGACCATGAGAAACAGCAGACAACCCAAACCGAGGGGCACTCTGCAGCATAACCACCTGCAATCCTCAAAGAGATCAACACTGAGAGCTGCTCCAGACTGAAGGAGAACAGAGACGTGACAACCAAAGGCCATGCCTCACCCTGGGTGGAGTCCCCTGCATGAAGGACATCACTGAGGCAACTGGAGAAACCTGAAGGGGTCTGTGGATTGGACAGTCGCAATATATCCATGTAAATTTCCTGTTTTGAAGGGTGGTCATGAGGGAGAATGTCCTTGTTGTAAGAAAAGCACGCTAAAGCATCTGAGGGTGATTGGTTTTCAGGTCAGCAACTTGCAGATAGTTCAAGGAAACAAGTTCTTTGTACCCTTCTCGCTACTTTTCTAAGTCTGATATAGTCTCAAAACGAAAAAACAAAAAATCCTCAATAACTACGATCACATTTTGAATAACATCTAACCTCCTTTTCAGGTCTACAAGGCCTGTGGTCCTCTCCACGTTGCTCTCCAGCTGCCATCTCCCCGGCCACACAGAGATGCCCAGCTCTCTCCGCCCAGGGAACATGTCCCACTGTGCCAGCTCCTTCTCGAACTAACAGTCTCAGCTCTCTAATGACTCACTCATCCAGCGGTAATTTCTGGACGCCACTGTATGCCAGACACTGTCCTAGGTGCTGAGCACAAAGCAGGGAACTAAACAGAAAAATACCTGTCCTGATGGAGCACTTTCCACTGGCGGAGAGACAGACAACCATCACCTACAGATCACATCCCTGCTGTGGGAAAACTGACAGGTACAGAAATTGAACATACTGCACTCAGCTAAGGGCTTTATGTGCATATTCTCATTAAATGTTTTCAGCACCTAATGAAATGCTTTATTCTTCCCACTTGACAGATGGAGAAATCAAGGCAGAGAGACCACAGGTCATCTGCCCAGCGTCTCAGAGCTGGTCTGGCCTTCTTCAAAACCTCTCTCCTCACCCACCCTACCATTCTGCCTCCTCCTAGTCCCAGCGGGAACAGATGCTGGCTCTGGAGCCAACAAGACAAAGAGGAGGGATGTGTTATTTCTGAACGGATTAGGATTTTCCACAGTGACCCACTGAACTCAGAATAACGCTGAAGGCCGCAGGCCAGCCTGACTGAGTAGGTGTATGCAGGCCGCAGCAGGGCCCAGAACCATACAGAGTCAGTAATTGCTGCCTGGTACCTTCCAGGACCTTCAGTCACAAATATTTTAGTATTTATTCCAATATTTAATATCAGTTTCAAATATCTATTCAGCTCATGAAATGGAGCATGTTGGAAAAGAAGATTTCTGCATGACGGAAGCAAGTTACTCATTCACAGCGTAAAAGGTGTTGAGTTACACTCAGGGCGTTTCATGGAAGTCACTGGAAGATGGTAGCATGAGGGATGTTTAAAGGCTGTGTTGAAGGGTCTGTGGCTGGCCGTTGGTGAAGTGGGTGCTTTTTTTTAACGGAAAAGAGTGTGGTCTGCTGAGAGGTCAAAGGCAGAATCCCATGGAGAAGGGCGACTGACAGGAAGGTTCCCAGATGGCAGGAGGGAGCAGGAGGGATGGAGGCCAAGGTAAGTGGGCCTGTATGTGTGCCCACAGGAAGATGCGCCTGATAACCATTTGAGGAGGAGCACTGTCATCTGCTGGGGTGGTGGAAGGATAAGTCGCAGGGTCTCGAGAAGAGAGGAAAAGATCTGAAATAGCCATCACAGAGAGCGGAGAAGTGAAACTGACAGGCAGGGTAGAGGTCCCAAAATGTCATGATGATGAGGGTGACAATAAAAATACCCAGACAAGGAAACCAGAAGAAAAAAAAATCAAATGGTTCAAATGTTTAAATTTACATTTCAGGCTGAAGAATAAAATGCGTGTTAAAGAAGTCACTAAATGTACTAAATATTATAAGCAGAACTAGAATTTTTAGAGCTATAGAGGTCAAAACAGATCATAATTAGATGCATTTTCCTTTTGTTTTTTGGAATTATAGTTTTCATAGTTACCTTAAAAATCATTCTTTTAATACAGGGTCTCTCGGATAAGAAATCCAACATGGAAAACCCGGGGTTGGAGCGAATGGTCGCCATGCCGACCCAGTAGCCCCCAGAGCTGCTGGGCCGGATGTTGTCTGGGAATCCAGGCAGGTTCTCCACGAACAGGTCAGCCCCGCCCTTCATCAGGCCAGACACGTAGAATCTGAAAAATTCACCCAAGCAGGCGGTGAGCAGCAGCCCCTCTGTTTAAGGAAAACTTTAGCCAAGCATCAAATTGGTCTTGGTCCAACAAGTTTATGGAAACAATTGCGAATGTGTCCATCATGAACCAGGGCACAGAAGTTGTGGGGAGAGGGGCAGGCCAAGGCCAACCTAGCAGGGAAAGGGACCTGGAATGCACAGTCACCATTAAATCCAGGCTCTCCCAGGCCATGACGTTCAGGTAGGCGGAGAAATGGGAAAAGAAAACACAGCCTTGAATTTTACTTTATCATTACTACACAAAGTAGAAGGCGCCCTGCTGCATCTCCATGTCCATCACAGGCCAGGATGAGCTCTGGTAAACACTGACAGCTTGGCTGACACCAGACGCACCTTCTTATCCTCGCCATGGTCGTCTCCGCCACCAGGACGAAGTCCTCTGCAGGAGAGAGCTGCACGCCATTAGGGAACCGCAACCGGTCCAGTAAGACCTTCACCTCCTTGGTCTCGGTGTCGTACTCCAGCAGGCTGTGGGGCGCCAAGAGCAAAAGGTCACATGGGGACAGTCCATGGCCCCCCTCTGGGCCCTGGGGCAGGGGCCTGTGGAGGGGACTCAGCCTCACACTGGAGTGATAGGGCTCCTGGAGTCCTCTGCCCAGACCTGGCTCCAGGCTGGCCCCTGAGGGCCCTTCTCATCCAGAGCAGACCCAGGCATCCTTCAGAGAACCCCCCAGTCAGTTCTCTCACTGACCTAGGAGCCATCTCAGCACCAGGGAGGGCCACCATGTCTTCAGCCTCACAGGAGTCCCCCTTCAGACAGGTGATCTGAAACCCAGGCCTGCCTGTGAGGTGTCTCCCAGACCACCCAAATCACACCCTCAGACGGCTTGGCCTCTTTTCATTTCATTTCCTCAGAGAGAAATTGGGAACATCTTGCTCCGTTTGCCGCATGGCTTCTGTTTCCAGAAGCCATGAAGGTCTCATCTTAAAAGCTGAAATATTGTGCTCAGAAACACTCCAGTGGTTCCTAGAAGTAACAGCTCTGCTGAAGTCACCTGCCCGACTGACAACCTCACTGCGCACAGATCTGGAATGAACACTCACCGCCCATCATCCGTTCCCTCCATAACCAGAAGCAGATAATCTCGTCTTTGCCATTTGCTGCTAGAATCCGTAAAATAAATCTTCCTCCCATCCTGAGTTATTGTAAGATCATTCACAAAGGACATTTTCCTGCCCTCAATGGGTGTCTCAGAGGAAAGCAGCAGCCTCACTTCACCTGAGGTAGGTGGGGAGGGGGGAGACAGAGAGAGAAGGAAGGCAAGGAGGGAGAGACCTGTTTTCACTCTAAGAACTTGTACCTCAATAATTTCAAAACATTAATCAGCCTGACTGATTTAAAAAGAAAAACTAAAATGAGCTTCTCCATGTCATATGTCAGAAGATTTATTCCTTCTCACAGTAAAAAACAGTGTTTTCCTTTCTTTCATCTGTTAGGTAATGAATATTTTTAGACGAACTTCATTAAAGACAGAATCCTCCCTCTAAGGATGAGGAACTCTTTCTTTTATCAAGACCAACGGACTTAAAAATCTATTAAGAGTCTTAGGTAAAAAGAAAATTTTCTATTTGTTTGCTTGAGAGAAATATAAAATGTTCCACTCATCTGCTTTTAAATAAAGAAATAGGAACAGTAGTAAATTTTTTTAAATTGCAGAGCAAACATTTATGGAGGGCTAAGCTCCTACCATGAATATTCTCAGTTACACCCTCACAACAATCCCACAAGGCAGGCACTACTATTATTCCTATTCCATGGGTGAGGAAATTGGGCAGAGAGAGGCTGAGGAACTCGCATAGTCACACAGCCAGCAAACGGCAGAGCTGCGGCCACCCAGGTGGTCATTCTGCGGTGCCCAAGCCCAGGGCCCCGTGCCCCACCCATCATAACTAACTCCTCCATAGCCTGACTCTCCCCCACTGAAGCACATACAGCAAATATTATAACACTGGTCACGGTGACATCATGGCCAGTCAGGGGAGAGAAAGGAGAGGAAGAGCTGGAGGAAATAAAAAATGAAGACAGAGATGAAGGGGGAGGAAAAAAGAGAAGACAGAGGCAGAAAACAAACAGAAAGACAAGACATAGTGAGAAACACAGAAAAATAAAGATGGAAAGAGGAGGTCTAACACCCTCACAATGAGTTCCTTTGAGACCTTCTGGCTAAAACCCAAACACCACAGGAAATTAGGACATGGACCAAATGCAGTCATGAGGAAAGAGTTATATGACACTAATACTGGCTGGTACTGGGAGGCAATACTTACAGTACTCTTCAATGAATAAGAAAACATTACAGTGTCCGGTAGACTGTACTGAATAAACTCTACTGAATCCACTTGTGCACATATTGGCTAAAAGATCTGAAATTATCACAGAAGGAAACAAGATATTGTTACATACGTTTCCAGGGATTTACTTCAAATAGTCCCTTGTATGCATCAGCCACAAAAAGGGTCCCGTTGGGCCCTGCCCGGATGCCCAGGGGTCTCCCACAAGCAGGCTCATCATCTCTGGTTTCTAGGGAACAAATGGATAGGAAACGGTGGCTAGTCCCAGATTCTACCTGTACCCCCGTTGATGTCCAAGCACCTCATCCATCCCTTCCTAAATATACACTGTGCTGTAGAGAACAAAAAAGACCATGGTATTAGAGACAGACTTGGCCCCCAGCATGCCAGCCCCCTACAACTTATGACGATTGTCCAGCATGTCCAGAGGGACCACCTGAGAATCTGGAGCTGGACATATGCACAGCAATTGGTACACAAGAATCATGTTCACATCTGCATCCCCAGCCTTAACAGTTAACTTAGGAACATCAGCAGGACCCAGGCCCCAACTCCAGAATCCCCCCAGAACCTCAGGAGTTGGGTTTAAGCCCAACAGCCTGACCTGAATACTGTGCCTGTCTAGGAGCATGACAGTTTTCCCTCCACCTGGCATAAAGGAAGAGTTACTATTTTATTCCTTAGATTAATTCTCCTGCTCTACTACCTAGAATCTTTTTAAAGCTGTGGCAATGCATACTTACTGCAAGGTGCTTACTGTAGGGTGCTTACTGTAGGGACACTTACAGCCAAATATAGAGTGGAAAAAGCAGGTTAAATAACCAAGTGTAGAGTATGATTCCATCATGTAAAACCATATGTGGATGTGAGTACCCATGAATAGAAAGATATCTGAAAGGTCATTCATTAAAATGTTAGTAAGTTACATCTGAGAAGACTCTGAGGTGATTTTTACTTTCCTTTTGGTACCTTTGTGTTGTTCACATTTCACAATGAAAGTGCATCATTTTTACAAAAACATTCTAGCTATTAAAAAATGATAACTAATAAAAAGTCTGTGGGCTACCAGTTTTTCAACTATGAGATCCTTCTACTCTAGTTTTCTAAAACCTGAGTGACTTAAGGGTATTGTCACTTTGAATGACACTGCTGAAATTCCTGAGAAGCCAATGTAGGAATTACATCTAAGCATCCAAGTAATGACAAAGCCAAGTGATTTTCTACAGCAGCACTCTGACAACACAGGCCCCTGCGGATGGCAAGGGGTGGGGCCCGTGAGGCAACCAGCAGGTGCCACGGCCACTACCTACCGGGAAACTGTGACTGCAGGGTGACAACCAGGCACCGTGAGGTCCAGGGACCACACAGCAAACGAAGAGTTCATGGTAACACCCAAGACAGGCTCTATCTGCCAGGGGATCAGGGGCTCTTTTTCTCTGAAGGAACCTGACTTCAAGGGAAATGAAGTTCCACACGGCCATTCGTCACTTTTAGGAATGACTGAAAGAGACACAGTCGGGGGGACTGTCACTGACTTACTGCACGGGCCTGAACCAAACCGGGCGATGGTCTCTACTTCACCATCCTCAAGTTTTACAACACGGCCATCTGCTGTACCAGTAAACATCACATCTGTTTAAAAAAATAAAAAGAAATAAAAGTGTTACTGGGTTAGTCTAAGAACTGTGATCATACCATCTTCTTCTATAACAGAAGTGGCTTGTGTTTTTATCTCCAGAGAGGAAATGGCAGTTCTGAAGATGAAGAAGTGATGCGTGGGAACAAAAAGTCCTTAAATCACACAGCAATAAAATCATGGGGGCCTGGTGAATCAGGGTGTGGGCCTGAACCTGACTGCAGCAAGGGTGCAGCAAACACCAGTGAGTGATAAAAACTGTGAAGATGTTCTACTCTCAAAAGAGCATGGACTCTCAGGCTGACGCTCAGCACTCAGGGGCACATGTTTGAGTCTGCTTCATGTCAGTGTCTGCTGCTGCTGCTGATTATATCCACCTAAAGGGGAAGAAGTGCTAGGAAGTCCCTCAGCACTCAGGGGCACATGTTCGAGTCTGCTTCATGTCAGTGTCTGCTGCTGCTGCTGATTATATCCACCTAAAGGGGAAGAAGTGCTAGGAAGTCCCTCAATATAAAATTAAAACACGTTAAGTGCTCACTTCAGCAGCACATATACTAGAACTGGAACAATGCAGAGATTAACATGGCCCTGCACAAGGATGACACACAAATTCATGAAATGTGCCTTATTTTTTAAATGTATATTACAAACTCTAGGGCAACCACTAAAAAAATTTTTTTTTAAATATAACACATGCTGAGAAAAGAGAGAAAATGGAATCATAAAATGCTCAACTGAAACTACAAAAGTCATAAAGAGAGTAGAAGACAAAATTAGGAACAAAAAGCAGGCAATGAATAGAAAATAGCAAAAAATATGGTAGATATTAATCCAACTGTATCAACTATCACTTTAAATATCAATGGTCTAAATACACCAATTAAAAGACAGAGACTGTCAGAGTCGATCAAAAAAAAACAAAACTCAACTATATGTTTTCTATAAGAAACCCTCTTTAAATATAAAAACACATATAGATTAAAAATAAAGTGATGGAGAAAGATTACACCGTGCTAACACTAATCGAAAGAAAGCTAGAGTAGCTGTATTAATCTCAGAGAGAGCCAACTTCAGAGCAAGGAACATTATTACGGATAAAGAAGGCATTAGATAATGATAAAGGACCAATTCTTAAGAAGACATAACTATCATTAACATGTATGTGCCTAACAACAAATTGTCAAAACACATGAGGCAAAACTGATAGAACTGCAAGGGGTGATAGATAAACCCACTATTAGAGTTGGAGACTTCAGCATACCCCTATAAGAAATGGACAGATCTGGCAGACAAAAAATCAGTAAAGACAGAGTTGAACTCAAAGTACCATCGATCAACTGTATATAATTGATATCTATCAACTACTGCATTAAACACAGCAGAATATATATTCCTGTCAAGGCCACGTGGAACATTCACCAAGATAGATCCCGTTGTGGGTCATAAAACACACCAGAACAAATTTAAAAGAATAGAAATCATATAATGTTTGCTCACAGACCACAATAGAATTAAACTAAAAATCAATAACAGAAAGATAGCTGGAAAATCCCCAAATACTTGGAGATTAAACAACACACACTTCTAAATAACAAACTGGTCAAAGAAGAAATCTCAAGAAAAAATTTAAAACATTTTGAATTAAATGAAAATGAAAATACAACTTACCATGCTCTTGGATTGGAAGAATTAGGAAAAATGTCCATGCTTCCTAAAGCAATCTACAGATTCAATGCAATCCCTATATTTTTCACAGAAATAGAACAAAGAATCCTAAAATTTATATGGAACAACAAAAGACTTTGAATAGCCCAAGGAATCCTGAGAAGAAAGAACAAAGCTGGAGGTATCACACTCCCTGATTTCAAAATATACTACAAAACTACAGTAATCAAAACAGCATGGTACTGGTACAAAAACAGACACACAGATCAATGGAACAGAATTGAGAGCCTAGAAATAAACTGACACATCTATGCACAACTAATCTTCCACAAAGGAGCCAAGAACATACAATGGAGAAAGGAAAGTCTCTTCAATAAATGGCGTTGGAACAACTGGACAGCCACATGCAAAAGAATGAAGTAGACCATTATCTTACACCATACACAAAAATTAACTCAAAATGGATTAAAGACTTGAATGTAAGACCTGAAACCATGCAACTTCTAGAAGAAAACATGAGTACTACACTCTTTGAAATCGGTCTTAGCAGCATATTTTCAAGTACTGTATCTGACCAGGCAAGGGAAACAATAGAAAGAACAAACAAATCAGACTACATCAAACTAAAAGCTTCTGCACAGCAAAGGAAACCATCAAAAACACGATAAGACAACCTAACAATTGGGAGAAGATATCTGCAAACCATATATCCGCTAAGAGGTTAATCTCCAAAATATATAAAGAACTCATACATCTCAACAACAAGAAAACTAATAACCCAATTAAACAATGGGCAAAAGATCTGAACAGACATTTCTCCAGAGAAGACACACAGATGGCAAACAAGCACATGAAAAGATGTTCAACATCACTAATTATCTGGGAAATGCAAATCAAAACTACAATGAGATATCACCTCACACTTGTCAGAATAGCTATAATTAACAAGACAAGAAATAACAAGTGTTGGAGAGGATGTGGAGAGAAGAGAACTCTCATACACTGCTGGTGGAAGTGCTAACTAGTGCAGCCACTATGGAAAACAGTATGGAAATTCCTCAAAAAATTAAGGATAGAACCACCATATGATCCAGCTATTCCACTGCTGGGTATTTATCCAAAGAATACAAAAACACCAATGCGTAAAGATACACACACCCCTGTGTTCACTGCAGCATTAGTCACAATAGCCAAGACTTGGAAGCAACCTAAGTGCCCATCAAGGGACAAATGGATAAAAAAGATGTGGTATGTACACACAATAGAATACCACTCAGCCATGAAAAAGGATGCCATTTGTGACAACATGGATGGACCTTAAGGGTATTATGCTAAGTCAGAAGAGAAAGCTCAATACCATATGATCTTACTCACAAGTAGAAGATAAAAACAACAACAAACACACACATAGAGACAGAGATTGGACTGCTGGTTACCAGAGGGGAAGGGGGAAGGGAGGAGGGCAAAAAGTGTAATTAGGCACATGTGTGTGGTGATGGATTGTAATTATTCTTTGGGTGGTGAACATGATGTAATCTACACAGAAATCGAAATATAATGATGTATACCTGAAATTTATATAATGTTATAAACCAATGTTACTGCAATGAAAAGAATTTTAAAAAAAAGAAAATACAACTTACCAAAATTTGTGGGATGCAGTGAAAGCAGTGCTTACAGAGACATTTATAGCATTGAATGCATATAATAGAAAAGAAGAAAGATCTAAAATCAATCATATAAGCTTCCATCTTAGGAAACTAGAAAATGAAGAGCAAATTAAACCCAAGGTAAGCAGAAGAAAGAAATAATAAAATGAGAGCAGATATCAATGAAATTGAAAACAGGAAGTCAACAGAGAAAATTAGTAATACCAAAAGCTGGTTCTTTGAAAAGATCAATAAAATTAATAATCCTCTAGCCAGGTTAACTAAGAAAAGAAGAGAGAAAACAGAAAATTACCAATATCAGAAATGAAAGAGAGAACATCACTATAGACCCCATAGACATTAAAAGGACAATAAAGGAATATTATGAACAACTCTATGTCCACAAATTTGATAATCTAGATGAAATGGACCAATTCCTTGAAAGATACAATCTGCCAAAGCTCACACAAGAAGAAATAGACGATCTGAATAGGCCTATATCTATTGAAGAAATAAATCAATAATTAATAATCTTCCAAAACAGAAAGCACCAGGTTCATAAATTCTACCAAACATTTAAGGAAGCAATGATATCAATTCTCTGCAATCTCTTGCAGAATATAGAAGCAGAGGGAATACTTCCTAACTCATTCTATGAGGCCAGCTTTACCCTAATATCAAAACCATAAAAAGTCATTACAAGAAAACTACAGACCAATATCTCTCATGAACAAAGACGCAAAAACTAACAACATATTAGCAAACAGAATCCAACATTGTATAACAGGAATTATACACCTCACCAAGTGGGATTTATCCCAGGTATGCAAGGCTAGTTCAGCATTTGAAAATCAATTAAGTAATCCATAATAGCTACAGGCTAAAGAAAAATCACATGATCATATCAATAGATACAGAAACAGCATTTGACAAAATCTAACACCCATTCATGATAAAAACTCAGTAAACTAAGAATAGAGGGGAATTTCCTCAACTTGACAAAGAATATCTACAAAAAACCCCACAGCTAACATCATACTTAATGGTGACAAACTAGAAGCGTTCCCACTAAGATCAGGAACAAAGCAAGGATATCTTCTGTCACCACTCCTTTACAATATTGTACTGGAAGTCCTAGCTAATGCATTAAGACAAGAAAAGGAAATAAAAGGTATATTGATTGGGAGGGAAGAAATAAAACTGTCTTTGTTCACAGACGACACGATTGTCTATGTAGAAAATCCCAAACAATCAAAAACAACAAAAAACTCCTGGAACTAATAATGAGTGATTTATAGCAGGGTTGCAAGATACAAGAATAATATACAAAAGTCAATCACTTTCCTATATATCTGCAATGAACAAGTGAAATTTCAAATTAAAAACAGAATACCATTTACATTAGCATCCAAAAGAATGAAATATTTAGGTCTAAATATAACAAAATACGTACAAGACCTGTATGAGAAAGACTACAAAACTCGGATGAAAGAAATCAAAGAACTAAATAAATGGAGATAGTCCATGTTCATGGAGAGAAGATTCAACACTGTCAAGGGATCAGTTCTTCCCAACTTGATTTATAGATTCAAAGCAATCCCAATCAAAATCCCAGCAAGTTATTTTGTAGATATCCACAAACTGATTCTAATGTTTATATGGAGAAGCAAAAGATCCAGGATAGCCAACACAATATTGAAGGAGAAGAACAAAGCCGGAGAACTGACACTACCTGACTTCAAGACCTACTATAAAGCATACAGTCATCAAGACAGTATGGTAATAGCAAAAGAACAGACAAATAGATGGATGCAACAGAACAGAGTCCAGAAGCAGACCCACATAAATATCGTCAACTGATCTTCAACAAAGGAGCAAAAGCAATACAATGGAGCCAAGACAGTCTTTTCCACAAATAGTGCTGGAACAACTGGATAGCCACATGCAAAAAATGAATCCAACACAGACCTTATACCCTTCACAAAAAGTAACTCAAAATGGATCACAGACCTAATTGTAAAGTGCAAAACTATGAAACTCCTAGAAGATAACATAGGAGAAAATTTAGGTGACTTTGGGTGTGGTGATGACTTTTTAGATACAACACCAGAGCATGATCCATGAAAAAATAATTGATAAGCTGGACTTCATTAAAACTAAAAACTTCCGGGCCAGCCCCGGTGGCCTAGTGATTAAGTTCAGTGCACTCCACTTTGGTGGCCTGAGTTCAGTTCCCAGGCATGGACCTACACCACTCATCTGTCAGTGGCCATGCTGTGGCGGCGGCTCAGATAAAAACAAAGAGGAAGATTGGCAACAGATATTAGCTCAAGGCGAATCTTCCTCAGCAAAAAGAAAAAGAAAAAAAAAGAAAAACCTAAAAAACTTCTGCTCTGTGAAAGATACTGTCAAGAGAATGAAAAGATAAACCACAGACTTGGAGAAAATATTTGCAAAAGATACATCTGATAAAGGACTGTTATCCAAAAAACTTCATTCTCAACAGTAAGAAAATGAACAATCCAATTTAAAAAAATGGCCAAAAGACTTAAACAGATGCCTCACCATGGAAGATATATAGATAGCAAATAAGCACATGAAAAGATGCTCAACATCATACATCATTAGGGAAATGCAAACTAAAACAATGAAATACCACTACACACCTATCAGAATGGCCAAAAATCTAAAACACTAACACCACCAAATGCTGGTGAGGATGTAAAGCAACAGGAACTTTCATTCACGTGCTGGGGGGAACACAAAATGGTACAGCCACTTTGGAAGACAGTTTGCCAGTTTCTTATAAAACTAAAGATACTCTTAAAATACAATTCAACAATTGTGCTGCTTAGTATTTACCCAAATGAGTTGAAAACATAAGTCCACACAAAAACGTGCCCACAGATGTTTATAGTAGCCTTATTCATAACTGCCAAAACTTGGAAGTAACCAAGGTATCCCACAATAGGTGAGTGGATATATAAACTGTGGTACATCCTGACAAGAGAGTATCATTCAGCAATAAAAAGGAATGAGCTATAAAGCCATGAAAAGACATGGAGGACCTTAAATGTACATTACTAAGTGAAAAAAGCCAATTTGAAAAGAGTACATGCTGTATGATTCCAACTACATGACATTCTGGAAAAGGTAAAACTATGGAGACAGTAAAAGATCAGTAGTTGCCAGGGGTTGGGGGCAGGGAGGGATGAATAGGGCACAGAGGATTTTTAAGGCAGTGAAACTACTCTGTATGATAATATAATGGTGGATACAAGTCATTATACATTTGCCCAAACCCACAGACCATACAACACCAAGAGTAAACCCTAATGTAAACTATGGACTCCGGGTGATAATAATGTGTCAATATAGGTTCATCAATTATAACAAATGTATCACTCTGGTGGGGGATGTTGATAAGCGGGGAGGTGCATCTGGGGGTATGGGGTATATGGTGAATCTCTGTACTTTCCCCTCTATTTTGCTGTGAACCTGTAACTGCTCAAAAAAATAAAGTCTATTTAAAAAAATTAAAGCATGTTAATTGGTGAATAGTCTCCCCGGCCTCTCCTGAGGCTACTGCCTCCCTCCACTGTCTGCAACATGCCAGCTAACCCCCAGGACAACCTCTAGATGAGGCAGCAGCAGCAGGTCCCCAGAAGCCTTCCTGCAGTCCACACCCGCAGGGGCGTAGCCAGATAGGTCCCCACTGTGCCTAACCAGAAATGTCACTAAGAGAATATAACCAGCTCCAAAGAGAAAAAAGGGGAGACCTGGTGACAGAACACAATGAGATGTCAGACCAAGTGGAAAGGGAAAAGAAAAGCATTCTCACTGAGAGATTAAAAAAAAAAGATTACTCTAACTCCTCAAAGTTCCAGTTATAAATATTAATATTTGATTTGTCACCAAAAAAACAAAATCTGTGAAATTTATTAATAAATGTCAATGTCTTAAGAGAAATACAAAGTTCTATTAGACCTATACCTATATACCCATGCCTCACAATTTTGACTTTGCCAGCCAAACAAACAATTGCAGAAATGCACCAGTCCTTGAGTCGGGCGTCAGACAGCAGGGGCTGGGAAAGAGAAGCTCGTCACCACCACCAGAGGGGCAGCCTTGACCTGCCCCCTTTGAAACAAAACAGAAGTCCACTGGACACACGTGTCCACAACCACTTCACGGAAACACATCGTCCTGTGGAATGACGATCAGTGCGCCGAGTTCCTCACACCATTTTAAGGTCAGCAACCTTTTCAGTAACTGTTTCTTTTGATTCCTAAGCTTAATTCTCACTCTAACAGACAGAAAATGCCTTGCTCCAGGTGGGTAGAGACTCAAGAATTAGAACCAGACCCAATCCTAGTTCTTAGGTTTGGGTAAGTCTTAAACAGATAGTTACCCTTAAATGTACCCACCAAAGTGAGCTTAAAAAAGAAAAAAGTAGAAATAGTGAGAATTGTTCCTGTTCTTTTCAAATGAAATCTATACAAACTGTTGAGTAATACTTACCTGACTTTGATAAATGAACTAAACACCAATGTCTCCATTTGTCCTTTTTTCTTTCATTTGAATGGGTCCAACAGTTTGAGCAGAAGAAAGTGCTCTATAGACATGAACTCAAAATTGCCCAGACTAAAGTGCCCTGCAACTTGGAGAGGGCGACAAGCACAGGGACCTGCAGCTAAGAAGGATGTCCAGGGCACTCCCAGCAGGAGCAGGGTGCCATTGCAGCTGCTCCCACAGAATCCCCCACCCAAGCAACAGACAGCTTTGAAGTCCAAAGGGCTTACTTACCCCCAATATTTGCTATGGACTCTGGCCCAATAAGTTGGTTTTCAAATAGCCTTTCCGCCTGTCGTAACTTCGTATTTGGTTGCAGAACACCAAGCAAGAGAGGGGGTTCTTTGAAGCTGCAAAATAATGCAATTATAGGGATTTTTCACTAAAAATACATGAAGAAAGTGTTTACTGAGGACCTACAAGGAGGTACGTGCATAACTCGCCCTTCTTTGATAAAGAGGGCACATTCCAAAACATCCTTAGTTGCCAGAAACACAAATGATAAGGAAAAAACTTTCTAGGATATCAGAAAAGACCACAGCACAAAACAAAAACAAAAATATAAATATGATTAATGCAAGAACCTTGACAATCACCTGCCACCTGAGAGCACCCTGGGGCCTCTGCCCACCTGAGCTCCTCATCACCCGTCCAATGCCTCATGGCAAGTTAGACCTCCACACAGCCTATGATTCACATACCCTGGTGTTTATATTCCCCGTGGCTGCCCAGCCACTCAAGTGCAACTAAGACTGAGGGGAGCCATGTGACATTTCACAGCTGACGGCCTGCTTCATGGAGAAGACAGAACAAACTGGAGGAGACGGTCCTGGGACTGGTGCCACCGTCCCATAGTCCAGCATATGTGCACTCTGCCTCCCACCTGTCCCTCTCAGGGCCCATTCTCGCTTCTCTCTGAAGCCAGCCTCCCCTGGGCCCCGGATCCCTCCCCTCACACAGAAGCAACTCCAGGAACTCTTCTCTCTCCATGGGCCCTTGCCACCCACGAGTAACTACGCTGTTTCTCCCAATCCACCAGCAAATTGTGCTAATGCCACCTTCAAAAGACAGACCTCGCTGAACCCCTTCTCCCCATGTCCTCTGCTACCACCCTGGTCCAGGCCACCATCTTCTCTTCCCTGCTTCCTCCCTCGTCTCCCACCGCCTGTTTTCAATCCAGCAGCTCGTGTGAGCCTTGTGAAATACAGGCAGATCATGGCATTTGTCTCTCAAAGCCCTGCAACGGCCCCTAGCCCCTAGAGCCAAAGTCCTCGCAGTGGCTGTTGGCGCTACACAGGCTGGCCCGGCCTCTCTCACATCCTCTCTGCCTCGTTCACTGTGCGCCTGCATAGCCCTCCTCCCTGCTGGTTCCGCAGAGGCCTCTCCCATCCCAGTCCTCGCATTGCTGCTTCCTTCACTCTCACCTTTTCAGTGAGGCCTGCTGCTACCACCCAAGTTAATCTTCAACACCTCCCCCAACAGCCAGGGCCCCTACCCCACCCTATTTTGTCCACAGGACTTTTCAGCTTCTCACTTCTCTGATATGTTCACTGTCTGTCTGTCCCCACTGAACACACAGCCTGTGAGATCAGGGATTTGTGTCTGTTTTTCGCTGCTATATCCCAAGCACCTGGCACACAGAAGGCTCCCAAAGAACACTGTGTGTGTGGGGGGGGGAACATCTCTAATTCCCTCCTCACCTTGCCCTCCAGCAAGGCAGTTTCCTAGCCAGCCCACCGGAGTGGGAGTGAGAGAACTGAGGGGGGCGCAGTTGAGGCTGTGGAATGATGGAAAAGCTCTCTGCCTTGCCCACCACAGCCCCGCCCAGCAAACTACTTCCCTCTTTGCCACCCACTCTGAGTCAGCACAACTGCCCCCTGAATTAAATTCCTGTCCTTCACTCTCTACCCTGCCTCCCAATTGTGGCTTTCTACCTGCTTAAAAAAACACTCTTGGTTTAACTATAAGTTTTATTTCCAAAGCAGGAGAGCAGGACTGCAACCTGTATGCTTTGGTGAAAACAGCCTGGGCTATGGACATGGACACAGCTGGGTTCAAATTCTGACCATGAGGAGGTCACACCTCCCGAGGTACACACGTGTGAAGATTCAACAACACAGACAAGTACATAAAGCCCAGGGATAGAGGACGGCACACCTGGCACTCAGCTACCCACTCCCACCTAGTTCTTAGACCCTGCCTAATTCCCTACACACAGGAAGTCCTCAACAAACATTTGTAGACTCAAACTAACCACTATATCAAGCACTGTCCCTGCACACAAAGAGCCTGAGTATTATCTCAATAGGAAGACAAGAAGAGACCTCATAGGAGAAAAGGCAAAGGATGGGCAAGAAAGGGCCCCACTCCTGCAGCTGGGCTGTAGAAGCAGCAAGGAAGAGCAGCTCCAGGAAGCCCAAGTAGCACTCCGCGGCCAGCCAGGCCCTGCAGCCTCTGTTTCAAGCCAGTGAACTCCTGTTGACTCATATTAATGCCTGTTAACTCTTGCTAACTCCTGTTAACTCACATTAATTCCACTAACTCCATGCGTCCTGAAATGTATCCTGAAAGACACGGTCAACATCCTCCGGAAATCAGGATGTCATGTACATTGTGCCTATGACAGTCCTGCAATCTTCCAAACAAGGAAAAGGTCACTTTGCACAGCAGGTTTTTGGCAAAGCCCTGCAGCTTCATGGTAACTTGGCTCAGTTCAACTTTGCTTTGAACTGAAACCAGTGCGTAATAATCCACTCTGGAAGGGTTTCCACCCCTTTGTCTGCTGTCACACTCCAGGTCTCTCTGTTCTCTCTGATTTCTCAGAGATTTCTGTGTGTAGTCTAAGCTCTCACAGGAGGTCACTCCGCACCCTGGAGGGAGACTCCCCGCTTCCCCACCTCCATCAGCTGACCTCCTGCCCCGCCAGTTAGCCTGATCCTGTTTACCACTGCACCCCACCTCTGCGATGACCACGAAGACTGAGGCAGAGCAGAAGCCGACAGCGCTGCTTTTCTGTCCTCCTCAACACTGCACCACGTGCCCCAGACACGGGTCTCCCCCTTCTTCACTCTTTCTTGCTCTGAACAGAGTTTTAGAGAAGCCCTTCTTGCTGCTGTCATTAGCATTTTCCCCAAACCTCAGTTTATTTCTGTTCTTACACTTTCTGCCAGTCTTCTGCTTTTTGTTCTGCATGTTGGGGGCCCGTGCTTCCAATTTTTGAGCAAGTCATTCCCTAAATCTGAGCCCCCGGAAGAGATCACAGTCAGTCACACTGGCTTCACTGGGTTTCTCCTCCCTTCTGTCCTGATCGGGCTCATCTACTTCACAGACACAACTCTTTTTGTACAACTTTAAATCCTTACTGGGCCACGTTTCCCTTCAGCTTCTGATCAGAGTACACACACTCATCTTTCCTCTGAATTTCCTCACCACTCTTTCCAACATAAATTCATCTTTACTGAGATCAAAGGTCTTCAGTCACTGAAGCTCCAACCCTCTCCCTCCAACCCAAAAGCTCCGTCTTCACCTCTCTCTCCACTTTCCTCCTCTTTTCTGAGGCTAGCTCCCCAGCCCAGGCTTTCATCTCCAGCTGTGGACACAGTGCACGCCTGCCTCGCCAACTGGATTATCCAGAAAGGCGCACGTCAATTTCTATTTGGGATGGGCTGAGTTGCATCCTTCTACACGTTGACAGGAGTTAGCAAGAGAGGCCCCTCCCCACAACGTGTCCTGGGAGCCCCCTCGGAGAGGACATCCAGTATGTCCTTAGGCCCAGTTCAGGCAGAAAGACACATGCAAGGGCCCACCGGCACACCAGGAATTACAGAGCCAACACTGTTATAAGTCTAGAGCTCACAGGCCTTCACTCATTCTCAAACTAACCTGAGCTAATCATGTTTTTACAGCACCTTGTGTCGTCAGTAATTCTAAATCCAACAACAAAGGGTTGACTCATATACGTATGTCAATTAAAGTCAGAATTGTCTTCTTTGTATCTTTGTATCCAGCTGGGTACCTACTTCAACCACAGGAGGTGCTGAATACACTTTTAGTGAATTGAATCCAACAGAAAGCCTTAAGTTTTATTTATAAAACACTAACATCTTATTCAGTTGTATATGCTATATTTACTCTATAATGAGACCCGGTTCTTGTCTGAAGTTTTTAAAGCCTTATATGGACTAACTCACTTAAAATAAACTTCAGACAGCTTCACCTGCCCCGGGCAATTTCAAGTGGAAAAGGGAACTTACTGAACCAGACTGCACAACCCTCTCACACCAGCTCGACATCAGTATCATGAATCACACCAATAAGAGCCTGGCTCTGTATTACTAGAATTACAAACGTGAAAACATTTCATGGGACCCCTGCTTTGTCAAGTCATAATGGACTGCATTACTCACAGACCCCCACTGATAAAGGGCAACTTCCCACACTAGAACACTAATTACACTATTTTTTTTAAATCTGTTACTTACAAAATTTAAACAAGATAACAAATTTAACCTTCATTTGTGTGTGCTTTTGCCACTTCAAATGAATTCAGGTTAATTATATCTAATACTTAAACTTTGGGTTTTTTCTGATTTTTATTTTTGGTTTGTACAGTTTTGTTTTTGAAACTATAACATGGACTACCATACATATTTTCTGTGTAACATCTAATTAACATAACCCAGGCACTGAACAAATCACAAATCTCTATTTTTCATAGTAACTTACCTTTCAGATCAGATTGGTTTAAATACGCTGGAAATTATTTCAGCCTTTTTTTTTTTTTTTTGCTGAGGAAGATTCGCTCTGAGCTAACATCCACTGCCAATCTTCTCTTCTTATATGTGAGCCGCCACCATAGCATGGCCATTGACAGATGAGAGCTGCAGGTCCATGCCAGGGAACCAAACCCGGCCGCCAAAGTGGAGTGCACCGAACTTAACCACTGGGGCTGGCCCATCAGCCTATTATACTTTGTCAAGCAACCACTTCCAAGAATTCCAGGGTAGCTCACCTGAGAGGCTGTGGATCTATGGGAGAATCCAGCAGCATCATGGCTCCAAGCAGCGGAACAGTGAGGGAAACAGCCAGCATCAAGAAGGTCACTCGGAAAACTCTGCTGCTAAAGGAGCTGCCGGAAATAAAATATGCATAGGCAATCAGCAGAGGCTCAGAGAGGACGAGCTCTGCTGGTCTGGAAGCCCTTCCAGAAGAGCAGGCCTCTTAACCCAGTTTCTCCACTACAAGGCCACTGACCTTCATGGCTTCTGATTAAACTTCAGCACTGTTTGCTAGGATTAGCAAACATGCCTTTGTTCTTTTTTTTTTAATCTTCCAGCTGAGTGGGACACTCTTATCAGTTGTTTTCCAAACAGTATGATAGGCTATATCTTGACTCCTCTAGCAGAGTTTTTAAAGAGGGCAAACTCGAAGAACTGATGAACACAAAAAGTAATGAGAGAAAGAGTTGCCCTGAGGGAAAGGAGACACTCATCTACAGACAAGACAGGTGTTCCCCAAAAGCCCCTATTTCCTGGTACATGGATTCAAGGCAGCAACACTCAGTACTGTGTGCCCCTAAAACTCTCAGGTTTTGTGGATAAAAGAGACAGAGATAAATTCATGGAGCCAATGGAAGGAGAACTACTTCCTGAGCATCCAATCCCCCAGTCATTTTGCAGATCACACCTTTAAGAACTCAAAAGGAAATCCCAGATCTTCTGCCTGGAGGAGTCTGCCAGATACTGACAGTTATTTACACAGAATCTATAAAATTCAAATTCCAATTCATCACTACTAGAGCCTTGGAAAGATCTGAAAGCTGCCTTGGGAATCTTGTGTGAAGTTTCTGGACAAATGACCAACAATGACTAAAATCTCCTTCAAACAATCCTTGCATACATCATTACTTATCAGGTAAACAAGTGAGCACATTTAGCCTCTTGTTACTAAATAAACTTTATAGGATCATTTGCTTACATTAAGTGCATTCAAATTTACTAAACACTTGACATCAAGATTAACTTAAAGCAAATAAAATCATGAGCTCCTAAGATGGAGAATCCTTTCCTATCAAAAAAAAAAAAGTTGACTTTAAAGAAAAAAATCAAGACACCTTCTTTTTTTTTTTTTTTTTTTAAAGATTTTTTTTTTTTTTTTTTTTCCCCCCAAAGCCCCAGCGGACAGCTGTGTGTCGTAGCTGCACATCCCTCCAGTTGCTGCATGCGGGACTCGGCCTCAGGATGAACGGAGAAGTGGTGCCTCGATGCGCACCCGGGATCCGAACCCGGGCCACCAGCATCGCAGCACGCGCACTTAACCACCAAGCCACAGGGCCGGCCCTCAAGACTCACTTAAACTTGATTTGAGGGCAGAGTATTGTTCAACTTTTGACAGGACAGTCTTCTGCTGTATACACCTGTTCCGGGGTAATGTAGAAATGTGGGGGCCTGGGCACCAGCCCTAACTTTCCCAACAACCAGCCAAGCCACTTCAGGCGAGTTTCTTTACCCAAAGCCCACGGGTTCCCCATTGTGAAATGGGGTTTGGGGCAGGGTAATTGCAATGTCCTGCCCAATTCTGGACATACATGATTTTAAGAAATGAATACAGCAAAAAATAAAATAAATCATTCTGTTTCTATTGGGGTAGGTGGAAATGAAAGGCAAAGGGAAAGAAAGGCAAAGAAGAGGAGAAGGAGAGGCTTTCAGAATGCACCCTGCTGACATTTTGGATAGCGCCACTGAAGAGTGCTTGAATTCTGCCAACAATCAGAATGGGCAGCAAACATATTCTCCCCTAGAGCTGCCAGAAAGGAACACGGCCCTGCCGACACCTTGATTTCAGCACAGTGAAACCTGTCCAGGACATCTGACCTTCAGAACTGTAAGATAATCAATTGTGTTGCCGCTAAGTGTGGTCATTTGTCACGGCAGCCGTAGAAAACTAATACAGTTTTCTAATTAAACTAATTTTGCTACCTGGAACTGGGGTGCTACTGTGACAAATACCCAAAAATGTGGAAGCAGCTTTGGAATCAGGCTGTGGGTGGAGGATGGAAGAATTTTGAGGAGCAGCATAGAAAAAGTCTAGATTTCCTTGAACAGACTGTTAGTAGAAATTGGATGTTAAAGGCTCTACTAGCAAGGGCTCAGAATGAAGTGAGAAGCAAGGCAGAGAAAACATACATCATCTTAGAGAATACCTAAATCGTCGGGAACAGACTGTTAGCAGAATTATGGGCACTGAGGGTGCTGCTGCTGAGGGCTGAAAAGGATGTCAGGAACAAGTTATTGGATACTGGAGGAAAGCAGATCCTTGATACAGGTGGCAGAGAGCTTGGCTGAACTGTGCCCTGCAGTGATGTGGAAAGCAGAACTCGTAAATGATGAACCAAGACATTTCGCTGAGGACATTTCCAAGCAGAGCTGAAGGTACAGCCTGGTTTCTTCCCGCTACTTTCTCCTCCAGAGCAGGACAGTCATGGGGACAGTGCTAACCACTTCTTTTTTCCTTTGGCATTTCCCCTTTGCTGTTGAGAATCCTAATCTGTATTTATTTTCCTTCTAACAGCCTCCCCAAAACAAATTTTGTTCCTAACTTCCTTCTCATATAGGGTTCAAAACCCAATCCCAGCCAGGTCAAGTGCCAAGTTGTCAGTCTTTACCCCTTTTGCTAGCTGGGAAAGGAGGTGGTCCGAGTCCCAAACCAGGCTAGGAGAGGCTGAGAGAGCCCAAGCTCCTGGAAGAAGACAGGCAACCACAAAGGGAAAAATCAGGCCAAGCCCTACACCTCCCAGTCCTGTCTCCAAACCCCAGGGCCACACAGCCTTCTTCTAATGTGAGTGACTTAGGCCGGTCAAGGGTACAAGAACACAGTGCATGGAAATGCATACATGGCACTGATGAGCTATGAACCTGACATGACAGCAGGCTAATGCAACCTGAGAGGTCTGCAGCAGGGAAAGGGGTAAGGACCATGAAGGAAAATGACAAAAACAGTGAAAAGAAGAACATGCCAGGCAATGTGCTTTATGTGGGTAACTAGGCGGAACACGCATCTCTCTGCTTTACAAATGACGGCAGGGAAAGGCACAGTGGCTGCCCACAGCCCACTACCAGAACTGGAAGACATGATCAAGAGCCAGGTCTGACTTCAGGCTTGCAGTTACCACAGCAACGACCCCTGCCAAGGACAAGAGGACAGGAAGAGGACGCCCGGACCTAGAGCCCCCGGAGTTGGGGTTTGAAACACTGTCTGCAAAGTCGCTGGTGATACGCCTACTCTGGACATCTCATATAGATGGAATCACACGACACGGACCTTTGTGAGTGGCTTCTGTCACTTGGCATAACGTTTCGAGGTTCACCAAAGTTGCAGTGTGCATCCAGTACTGCACTTCTTCTTACGACTCAGCAACATTCCATTTTAAGTACAGACCACAATTTGCTTATCCACTCATCTGCTAACGAACATTTGGGTGGGAAGAGGAAATGGGGAGTGATTACTTCTGGTACAAGGTGTTTTCATGGGGTGATGAAAAAGTTTTGAAACTAGAGAGAGCTAGTGGTTGCCCAACACTAAATATCACTGAACCGTACACTCTGAGGTGGTTCATTTTACGTTACGTGACTTTCACCTCAAAAAAGAAAAGTTAACAGTGATGAAAATGTTCTAAACTTAGATTGTGGTGACTGGTGCAAAACTCTGTGAATATACTAAAGACCACTGAATTGGACATTTTAAATGGGTGAATTTTATGGTGTGTGAATTACACCTTAACAAAGACGTTAAAAAAGAATACGTGCTTTAAGGGGTTGTTGAACTTTAAGCCCCCATTTCCAAACCTTGACCACAGAGGTGGAATGACGACAGCAGGGAGATTAAGGCAGAGTGAGTGAGGAGAAGCTGCTAGAACAGGTCAGGGCCAGGGGCAGATCCCACAGAGCCCTGAGGGCCGGGGCAGTGCCCGCTAGCTCGCACGGTGGATGTCCACGAAGGCTGAAACATCGAGCACTGCCCTAATTCTTTACTCAAGGAACCGTGGCTGCACAGGTCATCTCACACATGTTCAGAGAAACACACTTTCCCCTTGCTCGCACTGACTGAGCCCAGTTCTGCTTTCAGGAGCAGCAAACCCTTGCCCTCCCTGACAGCCCTCCCCAGGACCAATGCCCGCCATCACACGGCCCTCAGGTCTCTCTTCTCTGGGCGAAGCATCCCCAGTCCTGCAGGAGCTCCTCAGATGGTGGGGCTTGCAGAACATTATCTTTCCTAGTTGTTTCAGAGTTTGCCAAAGTCCCCCAAAACATGTGGTGCCCAGAACTCAAAGCAAAGTTCTAACCTAAACCATAAACTGTCATTCTACAAAATAGTTTTAATTGCCAAAACTGAAAAATAGGGGGATTTCACATAAAAATCTGGGTTTCCGGCTTTGCTTGAAAAAGTGGGAGATCTGGCCCTATAAAACCCAAAGCTGCAGGGCAGCTGCACAACAGTTTCCACTCTTCAGAGGGGCATGCACTCTCCTCTTCTCCCCAGCCCCCACACTTGCTGCAGACCCAGCCACATCAGGCTGGTGTAAGAACCAAACAATATGACTGACGTATGTGCAGTTCTAAGACCAGGGCCTGGAACACAGACGGTGCTCAGTAAACGGTAGGGAGCAGGACCGCTGCTCCCCTGGAGGCACCTGAGTCTGTGACTGTCAAGGGGTACAGAGTTCCAGGGGGTGGGAGCGGCGTTGACGGCTCCAGTAACTGTGCTCTGGGCACCACTTATTTTACCCCAAGGTTCATTAATTTTTTGGCAGGCCCATCTCACAGCTGGTTCCTGAAAACTCATAGTCAACTACAATTCTACCGTTCCTCCATTCTGCCGCCTGCCTCTGCACATCTGCCTGACCTTAAATAAAGCACACTCCATTTATCCCCATCCATCTTCACTGACAAGCTGCTGCGTGTTCCCATCATACTCTCCTTCCCCTTCTGTGTTGATGCACCCAGAAAGGCTGGCAACTTCCTTCCCAGGTGCCGTCTGGGAAATCAACTTGTTTGCTCCAATCTCTCAGAAGAGCCCCAAGTGATGTTTACCTCCTTGAGGACATCTGCACCCTGAAATTTCTTACAGCCTCTAAGGGCAAGAGAGCAATCACGGTGATGCAACAGGATTTGACAGTTGCTGTTGGCTCAGCACGATTTACAAAATCCCTATCCTATCATTTCACCAGCCAAATCTGAAGGGGGTTCTCTAACCCCTTCTGCACACAGGACATCAGGGCCTCACGTCACGGCCTGAAGTCCCGACCAACAGTCTCCGAGAGATCAAAAAACCTTGTGATTTATATGGATAATCTGTAGCCCCAAATCCACAAAGGACAAGACCCCCAGGCGTCAAGGCGATCCACGAAACCTAAGAAAATCAAACAACAACAAACAGTCTTTTTAAGTGACTGCACCTTGATTTTGTTTATTTTTACACGCCTTGAAACTGCGGCTCCTAGACTGCAGATGTCATTTTAGCATTGAAAATAAGAAACAAGCTAAAAGAGGCATCTGAAAACACACACCTGGGGGAAGGGCTGAGAAGAAAACTCTGGATTCCTGACTCCTCATGACAATGAGTTTATGATGGCCCCACCTGTTCCCCCACACCGCCTTTCTTACTCTTCAGTCTTAAAAAGGGAAAAGGATGAGGGCCAGCCCTGTGCCGTAGCAGTTAAGTGCGCACGCTCTGCTTCGGTGGCCCGGGTTTCGCAGGTTCGGATCCCGGGCACACACCAACGCACCGCTTATCAAGCTATACTGTGGCGGTGTCCCATATAAAGTAGAGGAAGATGGGCACGGATTTTAGCCCAGGGCCAGTCTTCGTTAGCAAAAAGAAGAGGATTGGTATCGGATGTTAGCTCAGGGCCAATTTTCCTCACCAAAAAAAAAGGAAAATGGACCGAGATTTTTAATTAGTCTAATATCTTTTAGAAGTTTCAGCTCCAGTTTAGAAGCTGAAAAAGCAGCTGTCAGATTTGCACTGTATTCACCCCTCACTCCTGAACACTTACAGATGAACGTTAACCACAGCTCTCTCTTCCCAGACGAACTACGTTCCAAAAGAGGAGGAATCACTTCAGTGTGACAACCATTCTGTCAATAAAGTTTCTATAGCATTTAGGGAAACTGATGCCAAATAATAATAACTACAAGCCTGCACTGGTATGTTAAAGTGCTTAGCTCATCTATGTTCCACACCGAATAAAAGGATTTAACGACCAAATTCCCCATTATAGCTCAAATACAGAAATTCAAGAGCTTTGGCATAAAACCTTATTTCCAAAGCATAATTTAAAAAATATAGTTCTCAATCATTGTCCAGCTGCCAATTCTATCCTTCTTCATTCATTTTCATGTCTCTTTTGACTCCATTACTCATAACTATATAAACCACTTCACTCACACAGATCTCAATGACCTCATCAGTAAAACAGAGCTAACACCACCTTTCATGCCAAGAGCCAGGAGACCAACCAAGGTATCACTAGATGTCCCTTTCACTAAAAAATCCATTGTCCCACTTCTGTTCTGTTAATTGCATAATAGATCTTTCAAGGCCTTCTTTATTCTGTAGTACATCTAAAGTTTATTCTATAGTTGTCAAGCTTCTACTTCCTTCAGATTCCTTTACTTCACCCACAATACACAATGCTTTCCTGTCTTATGGGGAAACCCTCAACTTTTAAGGTAATCAAGAAGACAATTAGATGAACTACTAGAAATGACCACAAAAGAAATGAAAAATAGAGGAGAATCGCATGAGAAAAATAAGAATAACTATAAAGTTATAATAATAAACGTAGAAAGGAAAGTGGGTGACAAAACCTCACTTTGAAAGAGACCACTACAGATATAGAGAAAAGGGATCAAACAAATAAGACAAGAAAGAAACACAGGAAAGTAAGAACAATGTTCATGGACAGGGAAGTCAACCTATCTTAAACACAATGTAAAAGCCACACTGGAAAAGATCAGCAGCAGATGATGACTTGGGGACATCCAATTTACCCTACCGTTAAGTCAGAAATCCCCACAGAGAAACTGAAAAACAACGTAATTAACTCTGCGCCTCTGCCCTGGGGCCAGGAGTGTCCAAGGAACAGGCTGAGAGTTGGGCCCACCCAACAAGTGCCCTCAGGTAGTGAACGCCCTGGTTTTCCACAGGCTGCCTCTCCTGACAAACTCAGGGCCAGGTGCTCTTTCATTTCTCATGTAAAAGTGTACGTAGCAATGCCTTGTTTTCACGGTTTATGTAGTAGAGCACTGCCAGTCCTTGCATGTCCTTTCCTAAAGGCTCCTCAGTCATCAGCAGATGATGACTTCACAACATCCACAGCGAAAAGGTAACCAACTTGTCTCGGTTTGCCCAGGGTTAGCGCGGAAAGTCCCGCGTCCTTGGAAACCCCTGAGCCCAGGGCAAACCAGGATGGATGGTCACCTAGTCTGGACTACATACGCAGCATATTCCCGACCTTTCCACTGGTCCCGGAGTCAGCTCTTTTCGGACCTCCTTTCAGGAAAATGAGAGCGGGGGACGGGGATGCGCAGGGCCGCGGCCAGGAGGCTCCCCCTGGGATAAGATAAGCCGGAGGACAGCACGGAGGGGAAGAGCGAACAAAGGCCGTGGTGGACGGGCGAGAGGGAGCGCTCTGGAAGGTGGACGGGAGTGAGGGGCAGGAGGGGCGGGCGCGGCGCGAAGCGGCCTGGGCACCCGAGGGCCGGGGAAGAAGGCTGCGATAACGCCCGGAGGACCTGGCTGCTGGAGGGCCTGGCAGGTGCCCCCGCTGGCCGGAGCGTTTCCTCTTCCGTAAGAGGTGCTGTGCCGCGGGGATGAAATGGAGGGAGCCTGCAGCGCTGGGCACCGCCCGTACCCGCTGCCGTTATCGCCGCCGTCAGGCCTGGGAGGGCGCCCGCCGCTCGGGACCCCGGTTTGCGGGCTCGGCCTACCTGCCGTCCTTGGCCTCCAGGGCCCGGCCATCGTCCGTGACGACCTGCGGCCGCAGGGGCCGGCGCTGCCGCAGCCCGTCCGCCTCGCTCATGGCACAAACACCACCTCCGCCCACCCGGCTACCATCCGAACTGAGCAGCGCGGGCTCAGAACTGGCCACGCGCGCAGCCGGCCCCGCCTCCGCCGGCCGCGCAGGGAAGTGACGTAAAGTGGCACCGCCTCTTCCGGCCGCGGGCAGGCGGCCTCTGGGTGTCGCTTCGCGGCTCTTCGCCCCGAACTTCGTGGTGACTTCGAGCGAGCCGTGACCTCGGGTCTCCCGGCCGGGCGCGGGACTCGGAACCAGCCCGAGCGAGCGCCAAGGCCTCTGGGGCCCGGAGCGCGCGTGCTGAACCGGGCTCGCCCGGCCCGTCCCTTGCGCGTCCCGCCGTCCGGTCAGTCTGTTTCTGACGGTTAGAGGACGGTGATCGTCGTGCGCATCGGCGCTGCTGGGCCGCGGTGTTGAGTTAGTGTCCTAGAGAGGATGGCGCTGCCTACTGGGTGACAGAGACCCCTGTTCCCACGGCAGCGTAAAAAATAAGGAGTTCGTATTCTTGGAGGCAGGGGAGTGCAGTAACCCCCGCCTGAAAACTATATGACTTTTCCAAACCGATCCGGTTAAGGGGGAAACTTAGGCTAGAAAATGTCCCTTTGGTTAGGCCTGGGTGTTGAGTATTAAATATTTTTGTTATAACAGGCGTTTGATAAAGTTAATAAAAGGGTAACCCTTAGAAGTAAAGACCGATGTATAAGTAGAAACTAACATTAATTACAATAACTAAAGTCCAAGAAAGCATGAAGCAATCATCAGTTCGTTCATTAACAGTATTTTAGTGAGCCGGGTATATTTCTAGGTGCTGGAGATGATGGTGAGCAAACCACGGACAATCTCCCTCACTTAGGAAATTAAACTGAGGGAGTCGACTTTAATCAGATCATTATAAAATTAAATGTAAAGTTTTAAATGTAATAATTGCATTAAAGAGGAATAACATGGTCTTGTGAGAGCATTTGACAGGTGAAGGAGCTGAAAGATTAGTAGGATTTGGGGAAGAACCAGGGAGGAGGATTTCCAGGCAGAGGAAACTAAGTCCAGTTACTCTGCATCATCTCTAAAAAGGCATGTTCAAAATGAAGTGTGTTGAGAATTGATGTCCTTGTTGCACCTGAAGGCATTCCTGTTGCCAACGTGCCATTATCCTTCTCGGTGCTAGATGGCGCTAGAGTCACCCATGACTCCCATAAAAGATGAAGACCCAGCGTCAGGGAGGTGAAGAGTTCCTAGGGATCCCAGGTTATAATTCAGGCCTGGGCAACATTTTACCTCATTCCGTGTCTAACGCAACCAGTCTGTATCAGGGATGGTTTTAACAGTACTGCCTGATCTGTCACCTTCCTGCCTGTTTAGATTATCCTTCTTGAACTGTATCCCGTGTTTCACGCACTGGTGATTGCTTGCTGTCTCTAACCCTATGCCTTCCTCCTTTTGTCCATATTGTTTCTTCTTCCTCTGTTATGCTTCCCTTCACCTACACTTGGCCAAAACCATTTTTATCACTCGGGACCCACTTCAGGTATCACTGCTGAAAATACTTTCCCTAATTTCTCAAGCAGAGCATCTTTGTTTCTAAGGCACAGTGATCATGCCCCCAGTTATAAGACTTAGCACGTTTCATTGGGGTTGTTGATATTCCATGCCCAGTGTTGAAGCCTACCAACCAAAAATAGACAGGAACATATGTGAAAAAGAAAATAATAATAATAAAAAGTTAGGTATTTTGAACTTGCTGCAGCAAAGGAATGCTCCAGAGGACCTGCAAGTCTCCTCAGGATGGGGGAGTTATGGAAGCCTCCTTGTGGGGTTTGGGTCTGGAGTTAGTTATAGATAGTCTTGGCTGGGATGGGTCAGAATTTGTAAACTAGGAGAGTCACTGGAGGAGTCAGTGGTCTTATTATCTCTGGAACACATGAGTCCATCTAGAGGTATTAGGAGATCAGCTTGTGGTCTTATCTTGGAGCACATGTTCTGAATGAGCTAAATTAGGTAAATGATCTGAACTTAGATCATTTGTGTTGCATGGCATCGTTTAGTACCGTTTTTCTGTTTGCAAGTCATGGTGAGGTCTGCTTTGCTAGTTGTGGTTTGTTTCAGTTCTCAGTCCCCCCACCCCACCCTCCAGCCTAGCTGCCACCCAGCTATTGGCAGGCGGATGGGATCGCTATGATTGGTTAGACCAGGTTTCCCAACTTCAGCACTATTGACATTTTGGGCCGGATAATTCTTTGTTGGGGGAGGTGAGGAGAAGCTGTCCTGTGCACTGTAAGATGTTTAGCAGCATCCCTGGCCTCCACCCACTGGATGCCAGTGGTATCCCACCTAGTCATGATAATCAATAATGTCTCCAGACATTGCCAAGTATCCCCAGGGGGACAAAATAGCCCCTGGTCGAGAACCACTGGGTTAGACCAACCAGAACCCACCCTCCAACCTTGAGACTGTTGATGAGGTGGGCTTGCATTGAAACTCTGGCCCACATGGAGGGCATTTATCTGTCCCAACAAAATCAGTTCTGCCAGCATGGAAGAAGAGCCAGTGATGGTGGGAAGGCCCCACAGCTAAAACTAGAAATACTCTCTACTTCCAGTCTAGTACTTTTTCCCAATCCTATGTTGTTTCCATTTCTTCCACAGGTATCTCCTGAAAGCCTTCCAGGTACTCAGCTAAGTGCTGTGACAAAACAAAGGTGAGATAAGGTAAGCCAACCTGCAGGCACGTCACAGTCTAGGAGGGGAGTTACGAAGCATTATAACCAATATAAAACAGTGCCTGAGAAGAAGCGCAGAGTGCCTTGGGGGCTGCGAGGGAAGAGTCCCATTAGGGGGGAGTGACCAGAGAAGGCTTCTTGGAGAAGGCAACCTGTGAACCAGGTCTTAGGTAAGTAATATAAGGGGCAGGCTGAGGAGATGGGGAAAGACAAGGAACAGGCTAAGAGGAAAGCGTGGGGTGCCCAGGAATTGGCTAACAAGGGTTGATGATCAGGGTAAACCTCAAGGTTGTAAGTCATCAAGGAAGAAGAATTGTCTGAAAGGGGCAAAGAGGAGCAGAACTAGGCTGAACCTTCCTCCCTCACCCGAATGCAGGAGAGCAGCAGAAGGAGTGGCTTGCTCTGAACAGGGTTTCAAGCTAAGTTGTGATGGGCAGCTCTGGTTTCAGCTCAGGTGGGACAGTGGAAAGTTAAAGAATGTAAGACTAGCTTGTTCACAGTAGAAAAAGCATCTCAGAGGTCATTCAGTTGCCAAAAACAGACATCCACAAAAGCCAGCTTAAGATGAGGGAGAGATTTCTTGGAAAGATAGGGGGTTATCTTATGGAACTCCAGCGCAGAAAGTAAAGCCAGGCCTCACACGGACTGAGCGAGGCCCTAGAAAAACAGGAGCAGAGTTCCTCTCTGCCTCCCTGGTGCCTCGCCGTGTGTTGTCTGCATTCCTTCCATGATTCTGTGGAGGTTCCTGGTGCTTGGCTGGCTGCCTTCTCTTTTGTTGCCCTCCACCGTAGAGCCAGAAAAGATGCATGGTCGCTTTTCCAGCTCTGAAGCTAAGGTGGTCACGGGCAGTGTTCTGACAGCAAGATGAAAGCAGAGATCTAGGAATTCTTTCTCTTTCTTTTTTTGGTGAGGAAGATTGGCCCTGAACTAACATCTCTGCCAGTCTTCCTCAATTTTTGTATGTGGGACGCCGTCACAGCATCACTTGATGAGCAGTGTGCAGGTCTGCGCCCAGCATCCAAACCCGCACACCCTGGGCTGCCGAAGTGGAGCACGCAAACTTAACCACTACGCCACCAGGCCAGCCCTGGGATTTCTTTTGACCTCTAGGAAAGTTTTTGCTTTTCCTATAAAAGGGAGAGATGGTACTGGCCTTGCCCTTTCTTCTCCTACCTTGAACCCCAGAGTTATGCTTAGAGCGGCAGCAGTGTCTTATGACTGGGTGACGCTTGAGGTCTAAAAGACAACACACAGAACAGAAAACCTTAGGTTCTTGATGGGACCATTGAGCTGCTCACCCACTGCCAGCAACCACTTACCCTGGGCTTCTCGTTATATGAGGAAAACAGTCCCTTGTGCATCTGAGCCACTGTCAGCTGAGCAGTTTGTGCTTGCGCCTGAATGTGTTCCGTCTGATATGCCAGCATTCTCTGCTTGGACATGCCCATGGCAGAAAATGAACGCAGCAAGCCCAGCTCTCCATGACTTTCCATTTCAAGTTTCCCACACCAACTAACTACAGTCTCTGATTCCTGGACTGAGAAGCTGGTTTTCCCAACTTTGGTGAAGTGCCCAAGCCTGACTTATTATTTGTGTTAGGAGGCAAGATCCCAGGGCCCCCTGAGCATTCGACAGGAATCAAGACAGCAGACTAGGCAGTATCAGTGTGAGCTGGGCAGGACCAGCACATTGAATGATGTCTGCCCCAGTGAAAAGCAGGTCGGCATAGAAGTAAGGATTATAAATAGGTTGACTAGAGAAAACTGCCTTAATTGCCCTAATGAGAATTCTTAAGGTCAACCCAGACTCAGTAGGAAAAGGTGCTCAGTAGGAAAGACATTCGGCAGTCAGCGTCTGCCATGTGCGTGGACGTTCATAATTGTTACTCTGTTGAAAAGTGAACTTATGTTATTCTCTTGGGACTCTTAACACTGACATTTCATGGTTGTTATAAGTCACTCGTTAACCTCTTGTTTCATTACACCCAGAAACCATTTCTTTAAAGCAACTAATCGTTTCTCTTTGGACGATTCCTGCTCTGCCTTTTTGAACAAATGCATGCATGCTTGTCAGCGTTAAGTGTTTCCTTGACTCTCAGGAATAAAGAGATGCGTGGTTGGGTGAGATGATGTCCTTCTTTGGGAAATGAATTAGCCCAAGGTGTGTCTGTTTGTCCAGAAGGCTGCTTGACAGAAGTTTGGACCTGCAGGAGCAGGGAGACTAGACAGCTTCTCTTGTTGCAAGAGAAGTTGGCAGGCTGACTGTTCCAATAGGCTTTCTAAACTCCTTAGTACTTACTGGTTGGTTAGTAATGTTCTAGGACAGCCAACATCCAGCTATCT